ATTATTTTTTATCAATATCATGAATTCCATAGACTTTTAAAAATGAATTTAAGATAACTTTGTCTATTAATTTATGTGGTTAAACGATTTATATGTAGCTGCTTTTATAAATTGTATATACCTATATGTAATATATGAAATTTTCGTTTTAATGATGATGAAAGTTGGACAATGACATGTGCAATGGTTTTATAATTTAAGTACAACCGTGATGTATTTAATAAAGAGATCAATTTATTACTTTTTTTTATTTATCTCTTTTTCCTTGAAATGATTACATACAAACCAATCATAACTAAAACGTAGCTTATGATTTCGTAAATAAGATGTCAGGACAATCTACTGAATATATAAATATGTTTACGGCCTGACAGTTAGCCTGTGACCGCGGCCAGTGCAACCTGGTTGAAATCCCAGAGGCATTTCAAAGATATGTACTTAATCGTGGGCGCATTCATTCCTGTAAACATAATTAAACATATACAGGGTGTAAAGGACGGTGCATGAATACTGGTATAGTGTATTCAGACTATCATTCTGAGACAATCTTCAGAATGATTACATTTTTAACTCGATTACTATCCGCATATTCATTTTATTGAATAGATTTTAGATTGGCTCTCAGGCAGTAAAGTGCAATTCGAGGTCATAAATATGCACAGACCAAAGACAAATTATTAACGTTTAAGTCGAACGTCATCCTTCTAGACTGGTTTGGCAACTTAGAAGTGCGTCTCTAAGAGCCCGGATCCATAATAGGGCTTAAAATTAAGTAAAAAAGGCAAATTGTTATAAAAAATATATAATTCAGGTCCAATAACAGGCGAGCGCTATTAAAACTGTGTGCGTTACCCCAGCAAAATAATGTCGAAAATGGTCATTTAAACTTTATAGATAATTAGTTGCACCCCTTCTGTAATTGTTAAGCACATTTTTAAATTTGTTTCACTTAAACTTTTTAAGTTATTTCAAAAAAACATTTCCTGCTGGAGTAACGTTTGAAACGTTACCGCAGCCAGACATTTTCTTTTTTAATTGTAATATTGAAATAAATTTTAGCTAGATAATTAGTTATCTGGACTAGGTAAATGTTACAACTTATTTGGTATTTGTATTTTCTTCGGTTGCGAAGTTATTCGAAATCCTGCTGGAGTAACGTTTGTGGGTTTGCTGGATCTCTGAAACGGGTAAGCGGATTGTAACCATCTTTTGTACATAACTTCTTAAGGATTAGTTTTAATTTGTTCGACATTAAAATAATAAAAATAATGGACCGTTTAAAAATTATTTAGGTAAGTATGAAAACACTTCAATACGTCCTAACACTTTAAATAAGACCTCTAAAGACTTACTTGAAACGTTATTCTATTGCTTGTAACTACTTTCAAATGTATACGAATTTTCGTAAGAATACTGTAAGTGACTAAAAAGTTATGATGAAATGTAGCTCTCCACGTTCACGATCACAATGTGTGCGGCCTTTTTTGGCCACCGATAAACCTGTGTGTGGATATATAAACTGAATGTTATGCCAATAATTAGTTGTTTAGTTCAGTTGTCTACCTGTAAAATTTCAGCGTAGTACATATAATAATTTACGAGATAATTAAATAAAAGTCATTAGAAGGTGCAAGACCGTGGTAACCCGACCATGTTTAGGTGGTTACAAAAAAGCGATCACCCAGTACATTGTGCGGGCTTTTAAAATATGTAGGATATTATTTGGAAGTTTACTACGGATATGTACATAAGTGTTACAAAAAACTACATGTTTTTTAAATATTTTTTATTTAGGATTGTTTATTGCATAATTAGTAATCAGCCGGGAGATTAGGTATTGTTTTGAATGCTTTTGTTTTCTCGTAATGTTTAGGTGAATTGTTTATAGTTGTTCATAGAATTGGTACCTGCGTAGTATTTGTTAATTGAAGTTTAATTTTAGGGTAGGTATAGGTAATTTAAGAAATATGAAATGAAATGATAAGTTTTGAAGAGTGTAACGTATGCGTTGTAAATAGGTATTTTGTGAATAGATGGGGATTTTTTTAAGTGATGAATCGACTTAGGCTAGCATATCGCGAACAAACTCTGTATTGCATTATTTCTGTAATAATATAATGTTGGAGAAAATAAAATATTTGATCACAAAATCGCGGTGAGTTAAATTATAATAAAATAAATTATTTATGTAAAATTAGTAATAAGTGATATACCTACCTAAAAGTTATGATCGTTTTTAATTTGTTCACCCTGAACGAAATTTCAATATTAGCATTAGTAATTAATATCCTAAGACAAGAATTGTCAATTACTTAAATTGAATCGAATGAGCATTAATGCCTATTATTAGTAATTAGGTACACACATATTGAAGAACTCTCAAGAATACGATAAATATTTGCAAAAATAGAAAGCGGAAGCGCACACGTACTTTACAACACGTATATTATCTGCCTAAGGGTCAAGTTTAGTGCACTAGATGCAAAAGGCAAACAATGAAGTATCCCTTCGCCCCTCCCCTCCCGCGTTCTAGCGAAGGATGTATTATCAGCGATTCTTGATTGTCAAATATTATCTGACCAATAATTTTATCTATAAAAATGTATCACTTTCACTCGATAAATTAAATTACCGTTATTATATCAAAATATCATTCAACAACTGTTCGTTTTTAACAGAAATCAACAGTCACGGGCTCAACGCTTAACGGTAGGTACATAGGTATAGATAATTCTCGGTTCTAGGTATAGAACACAGAACAATATTACCTACTCTTACGAGGTATACGACTGTTGGGCGATGCAATGTTGATGCATTCTAATTTACAACTGTATTCTTCTACTATTCGGTCTATTTTAACTTATTTTAGATGACTTGTTGCTTTAAATATTTTGATGCATTCAAGTCTAAGCTCTATACACCCCAAAATAAAATACAATTACTTTAGTGTTATTTCTTTACAAAAAAAAAATCAAAGAAATGAAACGATTTCTTATTGGTTTAAATTTTCGTTTTATTGCAGTCACGTGAATCGTTCATACATGTATCTACATATTTATAATTTTAGCGGACCGGTGCAGATTTTCTGTTGATTGTAGCTCCGGTAGTAAAAAAGACTAAATAAATTTTAAGTAAAGAAACAAGTGCTTAAGATCAATTAGGGAAAAAAACAAAATAAATAATAGGTAATAATAATTAATAAATATTGAATGTATTTAACACTGTACGCAACTGTACCGAAATCGTAAGGTGTATTACACTAAACATTTTAAAAGACAGCGCAATGTACTGGGTGATCGCTTTTTTGTAACCACCTAAACATGGTCGGATTACCACGGACTTGCACCTTCTAATGACTTTTATTTAATTATCTCTTAAATTATTATATGTACGACGCTGAAATTCTACAGGTAGACAACTGAACTAAACAACTAATTATTGGCATAACATTCAGTTTATATATCCACACACAGGTTTATCGGTGGCCAAAAAAGGCCGCACACATTGTGATCGTGAACGTGGAGAGCTACATTTCATCATAACTTTTTATTCACTTACAATATTCTTACGAAAATTCGTATACATTTGAAGGTAGTTACAAGCAATAGAATAACGTTTCAAGTAAGTCTTTAGAGGTCTTATTTAAAGTGTTAGGACGTATTGAAGTGTTTTCATACTTACCTAAATAACTTTTAAACGGTCCATTATTTTTATTATTTTATTGTCGAACAAATTAAAACTAATCCTTAAGAAGTTATGTACAAAAGATGGTTACAATCCGCTTACCCGTTTCAGAGATCCAGCAAACCCACAAACGTTACTCCAGCAGGATTTCGAATAACTTCGCAACCGAAGAAAATACAAATACCAAATAAGTTGTAACATTTACCTAGTTCAGATAACTAATTATCTAGCTAAAATTTATTTCAATATTACAATTAAAAAAGAAAATGTCTGGCTGCGGTAACGTTTCAAACGTTACTCCAGCAGGAAATGTTTTTTTGAAATAACTAAAAAAGTTTAAGTGAAACAAATTTAAAAATGTGCTTAACAATTACAGAAGGGGAGCAACTAATTATCTATAAAGTTTAAATGACCATTTTCGACATTATTTTGCTGGGGTAACGCACACATTAAAACTATTCTTGATTCATCACAAATAATCACATTATATAGAGGTAATTGAAAATTAATACCACGAACCATTTATACGACAATGCGAGTACCAAAATGGAACAAACAGCACTCGCAGAGTACATATTATAACCTTACGAACACGACTAGACACGATGACAATGCCGCGTGGCTATTGACGTCGATATATTATGTGGCAATCTAGTGTACCCTTCTTCATAGTCTAATAAAAGTTAAGCACTTCGTAGATGAGTTCATCATACCGCTTTCGATAATAACAATAACTTCGTAAACGGCCAAAATGTCATGTTTTATTATAGACAGTTTTTTTTTAAACCCAACCCGACACGACTTCTTATCAAGTGATTTCAGACGTTACTAAAGGTTACTACGTTACTTTGTTGTTCATTAATAAAAGTGCCTTTAGTAACGTATGTTTACTAGGGAGTGTACAGAGATTATACATATCGCATAGTCAACAGCCAGGAGGCCAGGTCAAACTGGCGTTCATAACAATTCTGCATTTGCAAATACTATAGAAAACGATTCTACCACGGACAATATAATACTGGCTAACTGACTTATATATAGCAGCGGCGGCACAGCTGCCAAACATTATATTACATACAGGTGCTGTCGGCCTATATGTTCCTGCAACTGCTCCCTACGACTTGACACTCATTATAAAGTGGTGTCGTCACTTATTTTTTTTTCTTTATCTTTAATTTCCTTCTTTAACAAATCAATGTATACTGTAACTTAACACATATAACGCAGCTTCGACATAGTAACATTAATAACTACAAAAATAAAAAAAAACTTTCTCAAAGACAGTAAAGATATTTTTCACTGGCAATAACAAAAAATTAAATTGTCAAGGATGACAACATCGTCCTCAGATCCTTAGTGTTGCTACCCATTTTTAGTATGTCCCTAAAGGCTCGAACACATGTGGCCTCCTTTTCTAAATTTTTGGATATTTGATGGGCTTTCAGCGTTATTTCTTTCGGTATTCCTGCCAAACGAGCCGCATTGAATCCGTAGGACTTGGGACAAGCGCCAGGAGATAATTTGTAAAGGAATGTTATCGTTTCTTCTGGGATGTGGTCTTCGTTATCAGGCGTGGATTCGTCTGTTTCGACCATGCATGCCTGCAAGTATATCATTTAGTGGTTAAAATTCAAAATATTTATTTTCTAGAAATATAAAGGTTTATTAAAAATAATTTTGGTTTTTACCCGATAATGTGTCGATACGTGGATACTACACCAAAACAATTTAATCATCAACCCTTTGAATGACAGGTCTTATAATTTATGAAGGACCTCCCGCCAACTACCACAGCATCGGATATTTCTGGTCTAATCGCATTGGAAAGATTGCTTACTAAGCATTTGTTTCTAAGCAGTGTAACTGAACTTCTCTATTTCTAAATAAATTAAAGCCGCTTTATTAGTTCAGAACCTTCATCTTATTGAAAAGCGCAACTAGATAGTGTCAGAGACAAAGCAAAGGATGATTAACATTTTTATTTCTGCATCACCTAGTTGACTGTCAGAGAACGCTTTAGGCATGAAGTCCTAATTTGTTTACTATATGCTTTAAGTTTCAATTTAAAAAAAAAGATTGGCGCTGAGAGAGCATTTACTGGCAGCGATAAACTATTAGTACCAGGTAAGCGTGTTTGTCAATTTAGATTTACGTATACGTACGACAAACGCTACATAATTGTGTTTATTAGCTTGTAACCAACTCACCATATGCCCCAACATTATCCCAGGGTATGAAGACAGATGATGCACGAGTGAATGGTAGTGCGTAGAGAATATGACTCTGCACCCGCGTTTGGCCAGTTCCACGCAAACCCCTGACGCTATAGCTGTACCATCGTAGGTTGATGTACCACGACCTGTTAAATAAAATTAGTGTTACAGATATTTTGTAAAATAGTTCAGGGTTTTGCATCCTCATAATCGCAATGAAATATAGTATCCCGTATTGATAACAGGAATAGAAGGTAACTATGAGACATAGTCTTGAAAACAATTAACATGATTATTTTTTCTGTGTGAAAGACAAGTACCCTATAGACATATAATTATATGTCTTTAGCTGTATACCTGGGAACATATATGCAAACTTTATCATGACCGGATGAAAAGTACATTAGCACATACCATAAAATGCGTTTCTGCGAGTCTCCAGATCGAATGAAAACAAGCCTCTTGGTCCTGACTGTTAAGCTTGACGTCCTGGGTTCGATTCCCACCCAGAACAAATGATTGTGTGATGAGTACAATCATTTGTCCTGAGTCTGGGGTACCTCCTAGTTTGGGATGAGCCGGCCGTGATGTGTGTAGTTATTATTATGATATTATTAATGACATACCCAACTCATCAAGTAGTACCAGCGAGTGGACAGTAGCGTGAGTGACTATCGCCGCGGTCTCGTTCATCTCCACTAAAAACGTAGACTGTCCTGAGAATATATCGTCCGAGGCGCCTAGACGAGTAAAGATACGGTCTACCAGACTCAAACTGCATTCTTCAGCGGGAACGTAACTACCCTGCAAGAAAAATAAAATTAATTGCAAGGGTCACGATAAAGAAATGAAAATAATGTTACCAGTTATAAAAATGTCAAAAAAACCTGGCTAATCGGCTTGTACTTACTAAATGCGCTAAAACAGTAAGTAAGCCGGCCTGCCTCATGAGCGTAGACTTGCCCCCCATGTTGGGGCCCGTGAGGAGCAGCAGGCTGGCCTCGTCTGTGCCCAGCTGGGTGTCGTTGGGGATGAACTCGTTCACGATAGGGATACAGGGGTGGCGGCCTTCTATTATCTTGATGTATGGCTGAAAAATATACGTTTTATACTAGATGAATCTTGAACAAATAGTATAAATTTTATCTATATCTTTATATCTCTAGTTGTTGTGCATAGAGGTTTTTATTTCTAATTCTATAAGAAAAAAATCTACGTTTTGTCTCTGCCATATGTCGTCCACAGTAATAATATATATAAAAAAAAACATTATGTAGAATCATAACCATAGAATCATCACCTACATACACTAGCTTAGCTGTTTGACATTTAGATAAAACGATTACCTTTTTGTCTTCATGATAAGTAAGTTCAGGTAAACACACATCTCCAGTTTGTTGCCTTGCAAATTCAGTAAATGCCAACAAAATATCAAGAGTAGACAGGCACTGTACTGCGGTCTCCCATTGATTGTAGTGAGTAGAAAACTTCTCGAAGATTCGTCGACTTAGATCTTTTAGTACGTTGGTCTTTTGCTCCTCAGCAGCTATCATCCGGGCTAGGAAATCCTAGAATTAAGGAACATCTTTAATTAAGTAAGTGGAATAGCAGTTATTTATACAGCAAAGATAATGGCGTTTGTTTTTGTGTTTACGTGTTGCTTATATGTCACTAGCTATTTCCCACGGCTTCACTCGCGTATTTTTTTTATTTCCTGTTTCTAACTTCGAAATGACAGACTCCCATACAATCGTTCATCCCTTTTTTTAGCAGACGGTCACCTGATGAAAAGTGACTACCATGAACATCTGCAACGCTGCGAGTCGCAAGCGCTTTACCGGCCGTTGAGGAAGGAGTACCCTCTTTATTTTATTTTACCCTCTTAGACGTGAAATTTTCAAAAATCCTTTCTTAGTGGGTGATTACAACATCAGCAGCAGTTGCTGCCTAAATTTCAAGTTTGTAGTCCCAGCGGTTTAAGCTCTGCATTGATGAATCATTCAGTCAGGGTAAGTACTTTTATATGTATAGCTTGATAAGTGTAATATATAAATAAATATACACCAGGGATTGTTGGAATATCAACAATTAAAAAAAAACAGTATATTGACAGGGATGTGGCTGTCAAATATTGCTTATCTATACTAATATTATAAAGCTGAAGAGTTTGTTTGTTTGTTTGTTTGAACGCGCTAATCTCAGGAACTACTGGTCCGATTTGAAAAATTCTTTCAGTGTTAGATAGCCCATTTATCGAGGAAGGCTATAGGCTATATATCATCACGCTAAGACCAATAGGAGCGGAGCACCAATGAAGAATATTTCAAAAACGGAGAAAATTTATTACTATTGAGAGACGCAGACGAAGTTGCGCGGGTCAGCTAGTTTTAGATATTTGAATAAAATCATAACACAAGACTGCAGTGTGTCAGCCTCACCTTTGTCTCAACTGTGGAGAATCGCTTGTACCCTTTCCTAGCGCCCTCTAACGTGTAGTCCACTCCAGCTTTTGAGGCAGAATTCTGAGGTACTTCTATTTGATATCTTTTCTTATCTGTTCCCACATATGTAAGCTGAAAAATTTAACGTTTTCGGTATAATATATTTATTATTTTTATTGGTCTGCTTGTTTGCTTTTTATATAAAAAAATGTTTTAATTTTAGTATACTAAAAGCCATAGATGTAATTTTTACCCAATTTAATTTGTTCAAAACACGAGCAAAGATCTAATTCAAGAATTTTTGCATGTAACATTGCACCCGTGCGAATCCGGGGCGGATCGCTAGTTATTATTAAACGAGTGTTAAATATGAATCAAAATTATATTAAAAATACTTTGATTAAAGTATTATGATGCGAACGCCAAATGTCTCTCGAAAATATATTACACTTTTTAACCGATTTCGACAAAAAAGGGAGGTTCTCAATTCGACTAAACTTTTTTTATGTTTTTCTGTCTCAGAACTACGTCATTTATAAACTGAATTAGAAAATTCTTATTATTTGTTTTTTGTAAAAGGGTACATTTCTCGTTTCGTTTCATTCAATTTGAAACAAAAATTCCACCTACTTCCTTCCATTCCAGGGGTGGAATTTTTACCATACAGTTTATTACAATTTATCATAATACATGCGCATTGAAGTTGGTTATTTTTTCAAGTTAATTATACTGTAAAGTGTCTCACCCGACATTTGAAATACTTCTCCTGCTCTTTGAGATACTCTTTCAATTCTTCTTCAATTTCTTTTATAAGTTGTAACGTGTTATCGTATTCTTGGTCAACACCATCTCCTGGAAGAATACGACCTTCTTTTTCAGCCTCTGTTTGGTTGAATGCCTCCTATAACAAAAGTTGACATGGACAATCAAAATGTATGTATGAAACTGCATAAAATCATAAATATTGCTATAAATATAAGGTGAGACGATTTTTTAATTATTTGGTTACTGTTTACGAAAAACGTTTACTATAGGTTATGTATTCCCTGTAGGATAACAGCAGTGTTGTGGTATTGTAAGCATTAGTAATCACTTCGACTAAGTTAAGTGACCACCGCGCTCATGGACGCCTGCGGTGCGTTTAGAGATTTCTTTTAACTTTTGAATGCTTTATTGTGAAGATACACGAACATACATACTGCATATGCCTTGTCTGTTTACGTAGACGATCGATCGAGTGCAGTCTACACCACAAAGATACAATCTGTTTCTCACCTTAAAAAATTTCAGTGTATCTCTATAATCCGGATATTTTCCACTTGGCTTAAACTGGGTAATTCTTTTCAACAGCGCCGCATCAACATCAGAAAATAATTCCACCAGTTTCAATGCAGCAGTGTACCCATTTAACACGGATATAAAATCCAACACTTTGCGTTTAGAATAGGTCTTTTCTTCATAAAATATGGCACGCGAATCTGGGTGTTGTTTCGACCGCTTTAGATTTCCTAGAGCATGTACTCTGAAAAATAACATGATGTGTTTTATATTTAGAATTTTTATAGAATAGGCCAAAATCTCCATACTAAGGAGAGGACTATGGCCAGCAGTGAACTATTAAAAGCTGTTGATGATAGAATAAGTCAAATAGAAGTTACTCATTCCTGGTTATGCCTCACGCACCTCTTGGGATCGAGGATGACATCGGGATGATCTTAACTAAAGTACACTCGTGCGCTGAACTATGAGGATTTAATATAAGTATTATGTAGCATCTGTGCAACTGAGCGTTTCCTCCATAAGTTTCTGAAATTTCTGGGGGATACATTTCAAACTGAACGGAGTTCGAAGACAAACAAACGTGCCTGTGTCATTGCACAACAGACTAGCGAATCTTGACCCAAAAATAATTGTTCATAGGCGTTAGTAAGGTCGATTTCTGAATACAATTTACCACCACCTAATTTAGCAAACAACTCTACGATTTGGGACTTTGGGAATTTACATGATTTCTTTATAATTCATTGCTCATCTATAAAAATCTTAATTAAAAGTAACCTAAACTAATTGTTACTCTAAAATATAATACCAGAAAATCTATACAAATATTATAAAGCTGAAGAGTTTGTTTGATTGGTTGAACGCGATTATTTCAGGAACTACTGGTTCGAATTGAAAAATATTTTTGTGTTCGTTCGCCTGATTTATCGAGCAAGGCTATATGACATCACGCTAAGACCAACAGGAGCCGAGCATCAATGAAAAATGTTGCAAAAACGGGGGCAATTTATTCCTTTTGAGAGACGTAGACGCAGTTACTAGGGTCTTTAAACAATACATACTTAGCTAAAAGTCTTTCCAAATCAGGTAGACCAGTTAAAATAGATTTGGCATCTTGACACAGCTCCTGATTTTCAAACAATGCCTTCACTGCTTCTTGTCTCTCCTTTATCACTGACAGATTACAACTTGGTGCACATACCCATTGGTATAACAACCTGAAATAAATATTTTTTATAAAATAATCACCTTGAGGGACCTTAATCAAAAATTCTTCCTACTACGAGCCTTTTTTCCCAAACTAGGTTGAGGTCGGCTTTTATGAATAATACAACCAGATTAAAGATGGCGACTCTGGAAATGGCCTAAAAAATAGGCAAGCATATTTATGACCGTATTCCGACACCTAATCTGGGTACGGTTAAAATGGCCCAGTGGGCGTTAAAAAACTGAAAATCACCGCCACATAACAGTAAGTTTCCGGAATTTATATCTTTTTTTAGGTAAATACTATGCAAGTCAGATTCTATTTAAAAGTACATTAAAATTAGTCATTACTAATCGAATTTTACTTTTTATTAATCTTGTAAGAATATACGTAGTTAATGATTGTATCCATATAAATATAATCATGATCTGATGATTAATATGATATAACAAATTATGAATAAATAGTTATCCGTTTCACTGATACATGAAATGTTCTAATCGAAAACATACATGATCAGATAAAAATATAAATGTGTATAAAGTACTGTAAATAATATATACAAACCTTTTTCCCATATGAGTTGAACAAAAATTCAACCGATCATACAAACATCCTTCATCCTGAACAATTCTCAAATTCCTCAAAGTTATCGCATCCAAAACCATAGTACTGCCTCCTTCCCACTGATTCTCAATCTTAACCTCAGGTGGTAACGTTCTGTTTAGCACGTCGGGGGGTGCATAGGAAGTAAATTGAGACATCCCTAATATTTGGATGTCGAGGAGACAATCTGTTAGGCAAGAGACACACCCGCCTAACGCTTTCACTGCTAGGTAGCAGTCAGGTGCCGGTGTAAGGCCCAGAGCATCACCTGAAATATGCGAAGTTCCTCTAGTCATCTACTAAAATAATATAATAATAATATCTTTACACATCTCACACTCGGCCGTCTGATCCTAAACTAGGCAGAGCCTGTGCCATGGTTACCAGACTGCTGGTAAACATACTTATATATTTCTAAATACATACATATTTTAGATAAATTACACCCAGAAACAGAACTCTCTAGAGATGATCGTGCTCATCACACAATTATTTGTCCTGGGTGGAAATCGAACCATTGACCTCTGGCTTAGCTGTAAGGCTCACTAGCCATTAAACGAATAGTCCAGTCGTGTTTCATCTACTCAATGTAGCAATAAAAAAACATGTAACTTGTGTAAAAAATGTCTGTTATACACTCACCTTCATGCAAGAATGGTCTAATGCCTTCAGGCCACTCCCCATCTGTGTTAGTTCTGTAGTACTTCTCAGCTAAAGTTTTAAGAGTTTTCTCTGGAGCCCACATAGATGTTGGCTCTCTGCGAGCACTATGACAATGCGTGCTCAGCAGTTTTGTTGTCCGTGCCGTTGTAGTTTTTCGATCATATATTACCTAAACATATAATAAACTTCTAGAAATTTGCTTGAAAATAAAGCAGAAGAGTTGTTATGTTTTAGTAGAATTGTTTTAATTTTTGAAGAAGGCAGACCTGTGTGCATTGTTGTGACCAGACACACTGTCAGAAAGACGCCAAGATGACAAGAAGTGTTTTTGAACCAGGGATTACTAAAATGTGTTCTGATACACAAAAATTTGACAGACAATCAGAGATACCAAGTTATGTCACACAGAATAAGAAAGTTTCTGCTAGTCGTAGTATGGTAAATGAGAGTTTATCTTTATATTAAAATTTAGTTTTATAAAAGTATAAAGTGTAGGTACCTTTTTTAATTTAATAGGACATATCCTCATTTAGTTATGTAGGTACGTACCAAAGCCGGTGGAAAATGCGCCAATGTAGTGAGAAGCCTTGAGGAATGCTTATCATCCTGGAACTGTCCCACGTGGAATAATCCTATAGACGTATCTACGAAGCACACTCCATATGTACTGCAGCCATTATTACTCTCCTGCAAATCACGAAATTTAAAAGAAGAAGACAAATTAACACATAATGTACAATCTATTATTATTAAATATTAGGCACAAAGAAGAACTTCTATATTATTATAAAAAAGTATTATAATAAAAAGTAATATCTGCATATTAATAGCAAATAAATGGCCAATTTAAACAATGACATCATCATCAATTGAGCAGTAGCAGCAAGCATAAGGTTATGCATTAGACCACTTTCAATCATCAAATTTTATTAATTAAAAACAACACAGTAGCTTTTCATCTGTTTTGAAAATAGTTTTTTTATTTTTTATTGGATGTGATTTTATATACATTCATGAATTTTCTACTACCTTTTCGACAAGCATATAATAAGTTAGTTACAGTTCATCTTTTATCTTAGAGTGATTATCAGTGCATATACAGGATGTAAGGGACATCGTAACGAATACTGAAATAGTGTATACAGACCATGATTCTGAGTCGAAAATCATTGGGGAATTTTCGGCCGGAAAATTAATCTTTTTTTAAATTTTCTTACTGCTATGTAGAATGAGTACTTTTGTACTTTTCTTTTGTAAATACATATTATATACAGAAAACACCCAAACTCCGAAACAAATATATGTAGAACATACAAACATTTGGTCCGACCCAGGAATCAAACCCGAGACCTCAGCACAGCATCCTATACGCTACCACTACACCACCGAGGCAGAAATGAACATGGACAAGAGTGTAAAGACAAGGAAGGTTACCTCTTCAGCAATAGCCATCATATAGTGTGCGGTGGCGTCGGCGGGCCCCGCGTCCTGCAGCCCGCACACTTGCGCGCCGCGCATTGACACTTGACATATTTCGCGGCGTACCACTTTGTCCCATTTTGTGTTTTGGCCAGCTGTTAACAATCGTAACATATATCTACAATATATAACTATTTAACATTATGTATTTATAGAACTCTCTTAGCATTTGACATGACAACTGACAGACTGATTCACTGACTGATCGATCAACGCACAAAATAAATCGATAGGTATAGAAACATGAAATTTGGCACAAATTATATATGTTCCTTAGGTGACGTAGTTGGGCACTAAGAACAAATTTTGTAAAATGTCACCCCTGGGGTATAAAATGAGGGTTAGAAATTTATCTGAAGCTTTGTGATTTTTGATAGTAGCGTTTTCTAACTCACAGTAAATACTCTTAAAAGTATCAAAAAACGTTGTTACTAAGTTTTTTAAACTACCCTTAAAAAGGGTGCAAGTTTGTATGGAGAATATACCTATAATCTTGATTCTTTGTATCCTCTACAATGTCTGATTTCGACCACCACGCGGTTGAAGTCGCGGGTAATAGCTAGCACAATATATAAGTAGCAATTTTTATTACTTTTCTAAAAACATTCAAATCTTATAATACCCACGATAGTGTATTATAAGATCCAAGTAATCCGAATACGCGAATGTAAGATTTACACTTTCGTAACATATAAAACAATACACAAAATCTTTAAAAAAATAACATTTAAATTATTTTTTACCAATATAGAGTGATCCAGGAGGCGGGTTTATATGTATAATGCATAATATAACAATAGAGGCAATCCGAGAATTTTAAAGATTTGTAATGTGAAGTCGTAAAAACATGTTTTTGTGCGCTGGCTAAACCTTACGAAATAGATTAAAATAATGAACTACGAAATTGTATACCTTAGAACAAACTACAGTCCGCGATGGTATTCGTCTATTTCCTCAGGATAACCCACAGTAATTTTTATCTTTTACTTAGTACAAGAAAAAATTTATTTACGCAGATATTTTGCACAATACAGTATTATTCCTTATAAGTTTGAATACGTTAGATACATTGTGCATTTAATGTAGTTTCGAATTGCCCCTTACAGCATCAAAATGAATATTTTAGAAAATGTCAGAGATTTAAAATGGGGTGGGGGGCCAAAGCGGCCGTCGACAGGAGCAGAGCCAGCCTATAAATATTGTGAATAAAGATGTCCTGTAGTATAGTCTTATCATAATAATAGCATAATTAATTACTCCTCACTGACACCACATTAGTAGTATCTAGAGTGCACCCGTGCGAAGCTGCGGATCGCTTGTAATACAATAAACTAAGACCACCCATTGTACAGCTACTTAATATACTTCTAGAATATACAACACTTTTTCGTGCGTAAAGAATATCCATCATCTATCTAAACTAGATAAACAGAAGGTGTTGCAACTTACTTTTCTTACACCTTTCTTGCATCATGTCAGGAGTTTCAGTTTGTTCAACACGTGCTACTTTGTACCCCTTTGACACTAGTGTTGACGACATTCGGCTGTACGCACTTTCTGGGAAGCCCGAATGTGCGAAATCACCCTGCCATTATATACAGTTACCTATTAACTTTTATTTTTTTATTTTACATGATATGTTTGTATAATTATGTTTAAGCTTAACACGATGCACAGACCATGGTCAGGTAAATCGTGGGTATTTTTTTAAATAATAGTGATCTAGTTAATTCTTCTATATAAACATACAATATATATTTTATGTATAATTTTAATAAGTTTTCGTTACATGACAGTTAGAAATACACTTTTGTTGAAATACTAATTTAAGAAAGGATTTTACCTTCATGTAAGAGAAACCAAGTTCATTAACCCCAACAGCCGCATCCATGTGATAAAGTTCATAAAACTTGCCAACTTTGAAGAACAGTACACAGTCATAGTGCAAAGATTTCATCTCCCACCACTGGCGATGAGCCTGGAATTGATATAAATAGACAACATACTCGTATAATATACACTATGAAATCTATCAATGTGTATGTATTTACAAAAAAGTTAATAAGTATTCTATCAGTCAATCTAGCTTTCATAGTACAAGCTCTGCTGAGTTTGAAACTACATGGCGTCGTGTGTTAGATGTTCATTGTGTGTTCCATGTGGGGATCGAACCCACAACACTCAGCGCAGTAGAAAGGGTGATCGTTTAAACCACTACGCCATCCGTGCAGTCGATTTTATATAAAAGCTTTATGATACATATAAAAAGCTCTTGCCTTTACGGACTGATTCAGCATGAGCTAGCCTACATCGCTGCGTCTACAAGCATCCACTAAGAAAGGGTTTTTTGAAATTTCAGCCCTAAGGATGTATGACCCTTGTATGTATCAAAATAACAAATAATCACGCGAGCGAAGCCGCGAGCAATAGCTTATGAAGTTACATGCATGTATGTACATGCAAGTATCTTTACATGCACTTTGTTTTACACCAATAATTTTATAAGAAGGCTGTTTTGCACTTTCATATTAAAAACCTAAAGCTCTACATATTTTCTAATTATTTGAAAGCCACTCCTATGCCTTTTGTACTACTTTAATAAATTTCATTCATGAGTGTTTAAGGAATATTACGAATAGGTATAGGTAAATACTCACAGGAGTCTGAGATTTATAGAATTCTGGCGGCACATACAGTGTGCTAGGATTATAATCTGGATGGTCTGGCCTTCTTCTGTGAGCATCCATAATTTTCTCAGGCTTCAACCAGTCTAACTTGCAATGGACCCAGTTGCCTTCATATGCTACTGCTGTCTTCTCTTCTGCAGATTTAGGAGGAGTACTAGCAAGCCTGTAGGAATGATATTGGTGCTAATTCTGTTGTTCGAAAACTCTAAACTAAACTCACTCAAAATTAGTTTAGTCCAGTCATCTACTATGTTTTCAGAAAACGAAACGTTTTTTAATAGGACTAAACAAATTTTTACACATGAAACTTTAGAAGTATGAGTGGCTACTTTAGAACAACATGGATTATCCAAGTAGAATATTTTTGGTTTGACTATTTAGTTTTTTAGTCTCTGTATGGCAACTGTAATAATAAAAGAAATCTACCCTAAGGTTGTTAAAGTTTCACTAAGAAAATTATCTGCCTGAGTACAGACTTAATTGTGTAAAAAAAATCTGAGTTGCCTATTTGCACTGTGAGTTGTTTAATCCAAATTTACGATTTTCAGTCCCCTAGTACCGATTAGTTATAACGTATCATCGACTACAGTAGGTTCATGACTAATAATAACTTGTATGCTATACTCACACTATTGCCTATGAGCAAGTGTAAGTGCTTTGTTGTACTTGCTGTTAGTTTGTGTGCGTAATGGAACAGAAATCAAAGCAAGAATTATAGAAAAGTTACTCTTCGAGAGAAATTATTATTCATAGTCTGTACCCAAGCAGTTGTTAGAGTTTCACTGTAAAAATTATCTGCCCAAATACCTTATTATCTGAGATTGTAGTTAGACAAATAAGTCTGAACTCAAGCTTTTGTTAGAGCTTCACTAAAAAAATATATCTGCCTGAGTATGGACTGAATTGTCTGAGTTTGTACTCAGATTAAGATTAAGTCTGTCCTCAGGCAGATAATTTTTCCAAATCCAAGTTAAGGACAAGTTTCTTAAGTATGTTAGATAATATTATTCACCCATTACTGGTTTCTGGTTTGATAATAGGTTTGATTGGTTTCTTTATCTTTGGAGACTGATTGGGTTCATATTTAAAACTGTCCTGCAACTTTTTCTCTATAATTGATTTCTTCTCCCTTTCTGGTGAAATGTCCATTCGATTATCTGCTGAAATATAAAACGTAGTTTTAGTTAGGGTAGAATTTACGTTAATTTTAAAATTATTCTCTTAATAGTCAAACTCACTAACTCTATTTTGGTATTGTATACATGAGGTATTAGAAAATATACATACATACATGCACCAACATCATCATTTCCAAAGATGTAGGTATATTAAACACAATTTAGCAGCAAATGAAATATTTGTTTATAATTTATAATTTGTTTGTTCAGCTTACTATGCATACTGGTTATGCATAAACACACCACTACTAGATAAATAAATCTAGATTTACTATGATCAATCCTAAATGTGTCTAATCACAATTGATTGCTGATTTTGAACTTCAGTTGAATATGAATATTGTCTGCTATTTATATATTTTATTTTTACATAACGAGAACTACCAGTTTTATGCATATGATTAAGTAACAGTTTGGCTTATTTTCATAAAAATATCAAGAATGTGTCATTCTTAAAATTTTCACCTACTTTTATTTTCAGTGTCAGAATCATCAGAGTCCATTGGTTGTAGTCGGATCCTTTTACGACGTTTAGAGGGCACCGGGATGTCATCCTCAGAATCACTACTGTTCCTTGTTTCAGGAGGTGTCGTTGGCTGCCTCTCACGCTTTTTGTCTAAAATATACATACATATAAAATATACACATTTTTGGTGAAGGATGAGACCAAGTACTTATTATTTTTAAAATAAGACTGCCATAAATATTGTAAATAGTCACAATCATTTGAGATTTTAAAATTTAATGCTTCCTATTATTATGAACCTCTTCAATCAATGATATTGATATCCATCATTGGGTATCAGAGCCTAGGTTAATGGAAAAAGCTACCTTATGGGGAACCGATTCAGGCGGAGACACTGATGGCTCACCATGCTGCCATATTGCGGCACCCTCAAAGATAGATGGCCATCAGATTAATAAGATGATACAGCACTTTTTTTTTTCAAAGCAGCGATTCACCTAGCAGGTTAGGACATTGCATTGCAATATCAATGGCAAAGGGTGCAGAACCTGAGACCTACTTCTTAGAAAATGGAAGCGCAAAGGTCTGAGCTCCAACAGGTCCTAGTGGAGAAGTGGAAAGAGTGACTTCAGGGACCGAGCATAGTGGCGTCACAATTCCAGTGGAAAGACCCATCATGAAAGATTCGCTGAATAAGATTGTCGTTTCTCTCAATAAGGAAGAGATGTTAGCTAAAGAGGCATAGGGAAGGGAATGGGAGAGGGCTGAAACCCTCTAGTTTGTACCGAAGACGTGGCTCCAGGCTTCGGAGTGCAGAACGATTTCCGACCATCGGTCCATAAGCGCTGGGCTGGGGATAACGGCGTGATTGCCTTTTACCCTAGCAGAAGCAGGCCTGAGAAGGGTAGGTAAGTAAGGCTTTTTGCACTGATTAGTATTGCTGCATATGGTGGTGAGTTCTACTGGGGCGCCAGGGTCCTCGGGGACTTTCTTCCTAGGGTATACTGGACTCACACAAAGTTTTTCACATTTATTTTTTGTTTTAGATCATATTGACAAGCCTCATATAATACCACACTTTTTTATTGATTTTGATTTATTACTAAAATTAAATTAAATCCCTTTAAACACCCACTTACTTTCAGGTTTTGGTTTATTTTCTTCACTAACTGAAGTATTTAATTTCGGGCTGTTGTCAATTTGTGTATCAACTTTTGTCTTCTTATTAGCCGGAGGAGTCTTGGCAAAATAATTGAATAAAGTATTTGCAGCACCAGTACTATTGCGTTTAGACATTTTTAAGTATTTTATTGTAATATAATTTTAACAAAATTCATACGATTTTGTTTCTACAAGTTTTGGCGCAAAATTATAAATCGTACAAAGCTGTCAACTCTGACAACTACTCACAAGCACAGAGCACAGTAATAATTTTGGTATTATAATGACAAGCATAGAGATATAACCTAGAGAGAACAAGAGCCGCAATTTGGCAATATAGGCAACGAGAGAGATGGATAATTGTTAGATCCCTCTGGTCCAGCTCTGCTGTAGGCTGGGGAATATGAGGGGTTAATAAGTAGCCAATTGCAACTTAGCTAAACAGAGAGCTGAACAGAGACAGAGGAAAATATCGTGCATCCATCTTTCTCGTTGCCTGTATCGCTTCCTTCTACACTTCTACAAGCAGCTGTACCCGAAAGCGAAGAGAGAACCTCTTCGCTTTCGTTCGCTTATATCTCTATGATCAGGCCTCAACGTGTCGAATGCTTTATTATAGTCTATAAAGACCATAAGAAGGTGTCTTTTTCATCAAATCTGCGTTAATATAATCCGTAAAACTGGAGACTAGTTGTGTTGTACTCCTTTTAGGCTGAAAACCTAACTGAACCGAACCGAATTTGGTGTCGTCTATAAAAGTTGTAAGTTTCAAATCATCATTACAGACAATCATTACAAATGTATAAGATGTAGAAGTTATCATTACAAATATATTTTTCTACTACTTTAATAAAATAGTTTAAAATGATGACTTATTAAAGGAAAATAATAAATATAGAACATTTAAAGTATAATATTCAGTCACAGAGTCACTTACGCATGGCGACACGTCGCTACACCGCATTAAGTGTTACTAATCCGGCAACATCACAACGCCAACAGCCGGGTCGGGTGCTCTACATATACAAACGAACAAAAAAGTTTTTACGTCCTTAAGTGACACGTTATAGAAATGATTTGACAGAAAGTGCCCAAACAATACTGCTACTCATTTCGCAATATATAGAGATCCAATCATCACATATAGAAGTATACAAATAGCACTGTGCGACGCTATTTAGAAAAAAATAGCGAATCGTCGCCCATACAGTCGAACTCATGCGCCGAGGGTTCAGTACCTACATAGATTTTCGCGAAAATTTGTAAGTACCAAAATTTATCTTAATTTATTATTATTTTTATTAATTAGTAATTAATTAGGAATTATACCTTTATTTGTGCCGTAAGACGTTTCCTTTTGCCAAATTTCGTGATTCTAGATCAACGGGAACTACTAAATAGGTTTTCGACCCAAAACCTATAGGGTACTTCCGGTTGAACTAGAATTGTCAATTTTGCTTAAAAGCAAGGTCTTACAGCACAAGTAAAGAGAAAATTCTGAGAAATAAACAAAGTTGAAAATTAAGGTAAATTTTGGTACTTACAAGTTTTCGCGAAAATTTTCCCATATCTTTTAATCGTGTTGATTCAGGACCTTGATTTTTATACACCTAATAGGGACCATAGAACTCAGTATCTGGTATAAATTTCAACTTGCTAGGTCTACCCGTTCCTGAGAAAACCGGTGGTGACACACGGACAGACAGGCAAGAAAGTGATCTTATAAATGTTCCTTTTTTACCTTTTAAGGAACGGAACCTTAAAAATATCAAAACCCCTTTATCAGCTATACAAATCAGTACCGAATTACTTTAATTAAGTGTTTCACAATATGAAACAATCAGAATAAATCTTCAGCACTGCACTGTAATTGAGGTATTAATTGTACAGTTCCCAATGTGCGTTAGGTTTTATTTATATTTATATGTTACGTAACATAAAAATACACAACAATGGTAACATAAAAATAACCTCTACTTAAAAAACGCTTCATCTGCGCCAGTATAATTAATATTTTACAGAGCTCATAGCTTAGATCTCTAATTTAAACATTATGTTTACTAAATAATCTAGCGATTAAAGCAAAAGGAACCTTAACATCGCTTAACACTTTTTTTTCGTGACGAACGAAAGCACAATGCGACCTTAATTAGTAATGCAGCGACTCAATAATGGCTAAAAGTAATTAATAATAATAAAAACAAAAGTAAAGTTTATTCCTCCTCACAATAAAGACTTAGGTTTACACAAAAAAGTGAAGAACACAGGATATTTATTGTGTAGTCTAATAAATTGACACAGCAGTGACTAGCTAAATTCTGGTGTCGCTGATTATTTGAAACAGATTCTACGGTTCAATTGCTTTGTGAGAGATAAAATATGATAACTTAAAATCAGTAAAATATAAGAATAAAATATTAGGACAATGTTGTTTTTGTTAATAATTAATGGCTAAACTGTAGTAAAGTAAATAAATATTATATAAGGTAGGTAGTTCTTCAGAAAGCTTATTTTATTTGCAGTAGAACGAATCGAACTTTAATAATAAACTTCAATGATGTGTGGACACTTTTCTTTAATCTGTTTTCTCGCAGTAAAAATCATTTCATTTAATCAAAGAAATGGTTTTAAAGTTGTTTGCGTATTTCTAATCTTCATCATCATTATCATCAACTCGCCATCACCTCGTGAGAGAAGGCTGAGGTACTTGAAGTTGGAGCAGACTGTTATCGCTATCCTATCTAGCGAAATAGTTTCAGGACTGGAGACACCACCGAAACCGCACATGTCAGTTTTAGTTGTGCTGATTTTCAAGCCAATATTCTGCAGCCTTTGTTGCCATTTTTCTAGTCTACTCTGGACCTGCCCCCGTCTTCACCGACCAACACAATGTCATCTGCAAACAGGTGCCTCCTCCTGTATTAAACTGACATTTAAGCCTACTTACTTTCTAATTTAAAAGTTAGAATAAAACCAACTAGCTGTATTTAAGTAATTTGTATTTTATTATCTATAATTATTTAACAAGGTAATTACTACCTTCACATAAAGTTACTGGAACGAACTTATTCTAGACGATTTGGTGTAAAAATGGCAGTACATCACCGTTGTGTACGCTGCTAAAATATGGAATATAATAAAAAAATACAATATTATTAAAACAGTGGAATGTTCCCATTTACAAATTATTGTATTTTGAACAATCGCGATATCATTTATATAAAAAATAAACATTTAAAGAAATATTTTTTTATTTTTTAAATACATAAACTAACAAAAGTCCTGAAAAATTGTTATGAAGTAACACCATAAAAACAATATATGTAGTTATTTTATAACAAAATCTGTAATTATAATTTTAAAAAGATACCTACATTGAGAGATTTAGCTATAGCTTTCGTTTTATACAAAACACTTTTTTCTAGTAAAAGTATAAAGGTGTAGAAATACTACAGTAAAAACCCCCTTTGAGTAATTTTGTAATACGTTTTACTTACATGTATAGTTCGAGTGTGCCGACTAGTTCGAGTCCAAAAGGGCCCCGTTATCAATAGGTGAAGCGAAATGACTCGTCAGTGTCAGACGCCAGACCAATTAGAGCATCTCCGAAATACACACGTGAATATAACCGCATTTCTTTAGTAAATATGTAGAAATATTCTTTCTTCATGTATATTGTCTTTGCTTCAAGTATTGTATTGAATGAATATTTATAAGTAAGTAGGTACACCTTATAATAATTATAATGACAATAGGATAATGAATTCTAAATTAAATCTCTTAAAGAAAAAATCAATTTTACATAAATATAGGTAAACATAAATAAAAAGGCGGAACTCGAATGTCTCATCTAGAAATGCCTTAATGAAAAAGCCATTGACATTATTACGTGTTCAAGGCGAACTCGATAAGTATACATAAATAACTAGCGACCAGAAATATAAACTAGTATTTTGGACAAAAACGCCCATATATACATTCCTACAGTTAAGGATAATGATGATGATGAGGATTTCATTAAGATTCTTTTTGAAAAAAAAATGGCCTAACTGAAGCGATTCCTCACCAACTTAGGTTTGAATAATGTAATTATTACGTATTCTTATATTTGTTTTAAAACAATACTAATTAGTACCTATCTATCCCAAAATTAGTTTCAAGTCCGTCCGATCCGTTTTGAAGTTCCGCCTTAAAGTTTACAATTTACCTTTTAAAAATAAGAATTTTAGGATTGTACGTTACGATGCTGCTCAGTCTTTCTTACATAATAATTTGTGGTTCTGGAACAGATAATGCAATGGACTTGTGCGGTAAGACTTGTCCACCATTAACGTACAGTTCGTCTTTTACTATGACGTCTTCACCGAGTACTGTGCAGTTCTCCATTCGTACCCAGCGACCGACGACTGACCGCCAACCAACAATGCAGCCGTCTAGCCATGCGTGCTGCCTTACACAAGCACCTCGGAGAATCGTACTGCGCTTTATACAAGCACCTATAAAAAATATTTCAAAATGCTTTAAATTTTTAAACTGACTTAATGCATTTAATATTTAGAATTTTGAGTATTTATTATATACACTCGTAGTATTTATTATTATTATCGAAAGGTCCGTGTGGTGACGGATTATGAATACGAAGCGTACGAAGCGAAGATACACCGTCGTCTTCTGCGCCCTCTAACATTAAAATGAATAAATAATTGAAAGTAAACTCTGCAGGAAAACAGCACTGCAAAGAGAACGAAAACCAACCCTATAGCAACCCGGGTGTGTGGATGTGATGTAAAAATGCTTACTACACGATTACAGATTATTTATGACAAATTTGCTTAGGATTGATGTTGCTTGCTCCCACATTTCTATTATTGTTGTTTTGTTGTTGTGTATTTCGTTTGTTTTCAATTTGTTTACTTTTTCGTTAAATTTGAATTGTGTGGTATTTTTTTTTTTGTGTAAGTATGTAAATAGTGTGTAGGCTTGTAATGTTAGTTCATATTTTAGTAATTTTCTGGTGGTTTTGAGGTTTCCAACAGCCTACTTAAGTGTCCTGCTGGCGGTAGTATCGTGGTCCGGGTTGTTGATCCTGACTATATCGGTTAGGCTACACGATGGCTAAACTCTCAACTAACACACAAAAACTCAAAACTATAGTACTTTCTTTAAAAGGCCAACCCAGACCCTGCACTCACTTAGTTTTCTTTAACATTGTACACGGACTTAAACAAAGAAGACACCTCTGTGATTTGTTTCGGCGTTTCTTCCCAGAGGGAGTCTTAGAAAATGCCAGCGCCTTCTGGCTGTAAAGTTTGACTTGTAAAAATATCTGAAAATATTTAGTTGCAGAAATAAATATCATTTATCATAATTTTACTGAAGTGTGTATTTCGGGCATGATCAACTAGTTTCTTTATCAATAAGTAAAGCGTCTCGCCACGACAATATTAGGCGTCAGATATACAGTGGGGCATCCCCGAATGTTTATCTATACTAATATTATAAATCTGAAGAGTTTGTTTGTTTGTTTGTTTGTTTGAACGCGCTAATCTCAGGAACTACTGGTCCGATTTTAAAAATTCTTTCAGTGTTAGATAGCCCATTTATCGAGGAAGGCTATAGGCTATATATCATCACGCTAAGACCAAAAGGAGCGGAGCACCAATGAAGAATGTTTCAAAAACGGAGAAAATTTATTACTATTGAGAGACGTAGACGAAGTTGCGCGGGTCAGCTAGTCTTTAATAAATAGGTACATTCCCTGCTTCACAATAATCGTTAAGTACCTAAGTCTATGTGTGAACCGCACTTCACATCGTAAGTAGATTGGTAGTTACTTACAACATTTAAGATTAAAAACCTACCTATCTTAGACATATTATTTTTACTTATTTGTAGATAAAGGACGAGCTGAGGCGTAGTCTCGAAAAACGTATTATGATGAACTCACTCGTAGTCATCAAGCTTATATGTAAGGTCTGATGAGTGTGGAGCATTCTAGTCTAACAGGTTGCGTTCTAGTCTTTGCCTACCACGAATAACACATACGGCGCTAGTATACTGTCTATTTAAGAATATAGGCATAATTTCATAGTTTACTTATGAACAACAATGGATGGATGGATTCAAACAATGTATTTACACTAAGGTACTTTACTCATATCTGGATATTGGACATTAGAACTGCAGGAGTTCTATATTACTTAATGAGTCACTCAGCACAGTTTATAGAATTTATCTTTAGCAAACAACATACTCGATGTGTTTGTTTTAGATAAGAAGGAGTCTTATCGCACAACACGTCAAATAGGTACATTATATAGAAACAATTAAAATACAATCCGGACGAAGCTTGCAAGGCTTCAGATACCTCAATTATTTATAGCTACTGTAGAGCGGCATATGCCCGAATGTGTAATTCCAATTATGCCATGCCATATATTTGCCGCTGCTTCGCTCGCATGACTATTGTTGTATTTTTTCTAACTTTCAAAGTAACATACGTGTACGTGGATGCGTACAACGTAAAAAGCATCTGCTGTCAAAATTTAAACCCCAGTTTTTAACCCCAGCGGTTTAAGCTCTGCGTTGATGAATCAGTCACGTCAATTAGGGCAAGTAATTCTATATGTAAAGATATCAGGTGTAGGTAGGGTAATGTACCTCTGATGTATTTGCTCGTGTTTTTGAAATATTTACATATAAATATACAACATATCTCAGAAGAAAATGGTCAACCTTTTAAAAATGGTTGCCGCTGCCTATTTAGTACAGCATTCTGATGTTTAAACTTTAATTGACTAGTAGGAATGATAAATAACATGAAAAGTTGGATCATACTTCTGGAAAATATACTTAATTTTTAGAAACTACTACACATAAGCATGTGTGACTAACCAATCTAAAATCCTCAGCAAATATGAGTTGTGTGGTGACTAATTTGTGGTATCTGGTTCGTAGATTTACATTATTATACAACCGAATTAATGATAAAAATAATGATATCTTACCATCTTCGATAACAACTCCCGGTCCTATTGTAACGTTAGGCCCTATCCGGCAACCCTTGCCGATCTTTGCTGTGGGGTCAACAAGAACGTTGCCAACGACTCCTGCACCATCGTATAAAGTGTCAGAGTTCTTCTGGCGTAGACTGTTGAGATATAAACACATTCCTGAAAGAGTACAAAGGAACAATTAGGGTGATGTAAGCAGTGATGATTTTGTATCACCATAGAGATAAGAGAGATAAGAACAGTATTCCATATTTATGCAGACGGTTCTACTAAAATTGCTCATGATTATCGAGATTTCAGTGCGTATTAGAAGTTTATTACACTTTTCTGGTGGTAAACGTTTTAAATTTTATTGGTGAAAGATTTATAACCAAATAGTTAAAATTTAACTAATTAGAAACGAAATTCAACATCCAGGAGATCTCTAGGAACCGCCAGAGAGTGGGGACTTCTGGTGACAGATTGATTGCTGCGGTAGGTAATGGAATGGCCTGCCTGATTGCATTAGGATGCCGCGATTGAAGGGGGAAGTGTTCTCCCCTGGGATAGGGCCTGATTAGGCATGGTGTCAATTTGGGGAGGACCTGGAATAACATGGTCCGGGTCCTCCCCAGAGTAGGACACCTATGGCCGGCCGTCCGGGTGGTTTTTAGTGGAATCACCACACAGAACTGATATATTTACAATTCTATATATATAGAACTAATCCATGTGTGTGGTGACGGATTAAGAAAACGGAGTGTCACCACCCCTATTCATACCGTGGGTGTCGTAGGAGCCGACTAAGGGAGCAATCTATGCAGGACAACAGCACTACAAAGAGAAGGAGGAGGAGAAAGACTGTAGATGATTATGATTAACATATAGATGTAGAAGTGTGTTGTTGTAATACATAAAATAGTAGTACCTGTTAAAAAGTCTTTGGGTTGTCCAACATCCATCCAGAAGCCCTGCAGTTCCATTGCATACAACTGACGATCTGTTGCCATATATGGGAACACCTCCTTTTCAATGGAAGTTGGTCGCAGTTCTATTCTACTTAATACTGATGGGTTAAGAATGTACATACCTAATCAAACAAAATAAAATATCATTTTTATTATGTAACTGGTAATTTTCATGTTTATGGTGCTACCAAAAAATTTTGGTAGCACCATAAACAATTTAACAAATAATCATGCTCATCAGACAACCATGTGTCCTAGGTGGGAATCAAACCCACAACCTCTGGCTTATCAGTCAGGATCACTAACCATAAGTCCAGCAGGCCTGTCACTAGTCATAATAATAATAATATATTTGCCTGATCTGGTAAAACATAGGTATTGAAAAAGTAATTTTTTGAAATTCAATAAAGTAAAGTTTTAATAAATGAGAGCTATAGATATTCTTTCTTTCTTTCCTTTAAAAATTTGCCTCAAACTTACCAGCATTAATTTTATTTGAAATAAATTCCTGTGGTTTTTCAATGAAACTATCAATTTGGCCATCTGGTTTATAGCAAACTACTCCATATTTGGAGGGCTCCTCAACTTTAGTTACAACTATAGTACCTTCCTAAAATATTATTAAAATAATTAACTTTTACAGAAAAATCACTAACTTTATTGTGACTACATTGTAATGCACCATAGTAAAATGTATTCTTCATTCCTCAATTTTCATATTTATGTTTTTTTTTTTTAAACAACCTGATGTTTCAACACCCTGGCTGACCTTATATGTAGGAAGTATAAATTGAGAGTTACTGGGCTCAAACTTTCCCGCAAGGGATAGTCTATTAATCACATGTTATTTTCCCCCTAACTCTTTAACCCCCTTTTTTATTTTTTTCCGTGCGGCAATCCCCTCGGATACCACCTATCGGTGGCATGTCGGACTCGAACCGACTAAAACCGCACGCCGTCTCGGGTACTAATAGCCGGGGAACCAGGTATACCCTCGGCCATCTACAACAAGTAGACGACCCCCCGTGTGGGAACCCCACGTTCCCTCTGCTCCCTGGAAGCGAGCGCACTTCGCAACGCGCTCGCCGCCACCCCGGCCTGCTTCTGCTAGGGTGACAGATGGCCTCACCTGTCACCCCCAGGCCTGCGCTTATGGAGGACGATGGTCGTTCTGTGACCTCCGGCGCCTGAGTCGCCTGCGGTGCCTGGCCCGTTCCCGAGCCTGGCGGGCCGGGAGAGTTCTAAACCTCTCCCGGTCCCGCTCCGCCGTCTCCTTCGCGAGCATAACTTGCTCGCAGAAGGTGACGGCAGAGTTCCACGCACTCTCGCTCCGCACGATAGCCCCAATCAGGCTATCGAGCGAGAGAACTCCCACTCCGATGGCCGCCACGAGGTCTCGCCTCTGCTCAACCCACGCCGGGCACTGTGCCAGCGTGTGGAGAGCCATGTCCACGGTCTGGCCCTCGCAGTGGTGGCACTTAGGCGTTGGCTCCTTGCGGATCAGACACAGGTGATCCCTGAAACATCCTTTCCCAGTGATCACCTGCGTCAGTCGGTATGAGAGGGTTCCGTGACGCCTCTCGAGCCAATCCTCCATAACGGGTCTTACCGCCGCGATGACAGCGTGCCAGGAACTCTTTAACCCTGGTGATTTGCAGTGTGTATTTTTTCAGGACAAAGTAAATTGAAATTTTCAGAATACTATCTTTAAATACGGGTATAATCTGTTAGATTTTGGAAAATTAAGCATCATGATAAAAATGTAAAGACAGACTGAATGAAATTGTGAGTTCAACGAAAAAAAAATACACAAGACATCTGATTATAACCCTTCCTTGTCATATTTCATGATTTTTTTTAAACCCCTCACCCTCCTTTTGGAGCCTCACGTGATTAATGGACTATCGCTAACAGCCAGTTTGGGTTAGAAGTATGTAATCCTGTTCTGCTAAAGCTATTGATTACATTTCCCCATCCATCCTTTAAACCACTATTTTTAGCTTCTTTTGCCTTTCAATCTAGTTTTGCTTTTTAAAATGCTCCAAAAAAATTAAACTATGAATTCAGAAAGAATCTGTTTGATGACAATAGGCAGCAGGCAAACTATAGATACGCACAACTGCATTTTCCTTCAGGGACATACCATTAAAATTATTAAAAAGGTGTTATATCCTACAAAAATTTACTTTAAATTAATCATACATACCTTCCCATGACTTCTGTGGAACTTAGCAAGCTCTTTGAATGGAAAATCACAAATAACATCTGAATTTAGTACAAAAAAGGGTTCTGGACTGGCAGTTAACAGTTCACGGGCTAGTGCCAGAGGTCCAGCTGTGCCCAATGGTTCTGTTTCATGTGAAAATGTAAGAGATACACCAAGTTTTGATACTTCTTCCGTCAATTCTTTCTCCATATCTTCAGCTCTATATGATACAGCCAAAATAACCTGGAATAGGGAATTATGAACTAATCATAATTTTATAAATAATAAAGCGTGTAGCATAGATGATGTAGTTGGTAATATTACCTTAGTTACTCCAGCTTCAACCAAGGCCTCTATTTGATGCATCAATATCGGTTTATTGGCAAATTCCACTAGAGGTTTCGGTCTACTTAATGTTAAAGGTCTTAGGCGTGTACCGTAACCACCAACAAGTATGAGCGCACGAATTTCCCCTAATTTCTTGTCTGAGCCACACATTTTAATGATAACTGTTCTATTTACTTGAAGAAGTTTAATGTAGAAAGTCTACAAATGATTTTGAAAAGCTTATTTAAGTAGGTAATAAGTCAGACTATTTATTATCTATGTATAAAAATATATATTCTTTTATCTATATACTTTAAAGAATGAATTTGAATTACACGAAAAACCTTTTAAAATCAATCAATCAGTGCAAAACAAAACGTAATCAATTTTTTTTTAAATACACGTCATAACACTGATAGTGTTGCAAGGTACAGGAAGTGGAGCCCAAAGGATAAATTAACAAAATTGTTGATAGTCGATTGATAATTGCTAGTAAATGGGGAGAAATCGGTTCGTGTCCCTAATTAGTCAATTTGTTTATGTGCATATTTTGCTTGCTACTTGCTACACTCGAATAAATACACTCTACCTTCTTAGAGTTATCTAAGAAAAAGTAATAATAATCTTAATTCTATGATTTAAAAGTCAGTATTTTATTATTATGACAACATTGTTGAATAAAACGATTCTAATCAGCAAATTCATTATGAAAGCCATTATTTGTTTAGAAAGATTAACGTTTAGATTGGATTTACCTCTATTTCATATAACTGAATTCGATTTATCAATCTTTGAAAAAACTCGGTGTGGATTTATAGGACTTTGCTTTAACAGATCTGGATATACCTAGATTTGAAAACTACGGATTTAACTAGGAATGTGGTAGCGGCAAAATCACGGAATACTATCGACTAAGATTTGTGAAAGCTGACTTAATTAATATATCAAAAAATAATACAGACTAAATGAAGCAATTTAGTAATATTTAAAAAAAGAGTAATTATTTTTTTACCAAATTGAAAATCTGTAATTTTTTAAACAAAATTTAATATTTCTTCTGAATATTTCAGTGTACAAATATCAAAATCGATATATCGATAATGTTTAGAACAACATTAGTTCCAACATAGGACTTCCAAACGACGCATGATAGGTATTTCAAACTTGTCGCAGAGTGTACGTCAACTGACGCCCAAGCAATTCGCTGATTGTCTCGGATCGACTTTACTACAATTAAAAAAAAAATGTCTTTCTGATGCTCAATCTTTCTGATTTTGATAAAATATTTTGACTTCAAAGCTCTTTTTCTCAAAAACTTTATACATGGCTTTATTTTATATGGTATATATATGATATATTTTAAAAACCAAAATCTTGAAAATTCTTTTTAGTTTAGTTTTATTAGTGGAATTAGTTTTTTTGAAGTGAAACTTTTTTAGAATCGTTGTGATTTGAAACTCGACGAAAAGAAAATGCGTCACGATAAAGAATCAAACACATAAATGTATAGAATTAACTCGGCGAGAGAATGAGATAGAATATATAACACAATATTTTTAATAAAATATTTTGACAGTGTGAATATTTTTATCTTTTTATTTAATACTTGCGACTTCGTGGATGCGATTTCCGGGCAAAATCTTATATCTTTTTCTGAGATAAAAAAAAAAGAAAAATAAATTGTCTGTTACTCCTTATTTAGACAATTTTTTTTTTAGGAAGTTTCCTTTCTGCCGTGTGTAAATTGCACACATACACTTACTTTTTTGATAATATCAGAAGTTCATCTTTCTCTTCTTATCTGAACAATGAAATGAGAATTATATGACCTGGCAAGGACCTTTACCTCATAACAATTTAGGAATATACACTTGTGATCTTCAGTTGCTTGGATTTCATTGACAACCTTTTCCATATGACTATGATTGATATGGTTATCAGAGCCAGTAAAATTTATTTATATTCAGGATGCACCTAAGTTTTTAACCCCGTCACCTAAGGGTGATAAGAAAATTATACTATTTAAATAGTATTATGCCATTTCGTTTTTATTTTCGTGTTTTTAATCATCGGACTAAGTTCGCGTACAAATCTGACAACCGAACATCGGTTGTCAGATTTGTACGCGCGTACTCTTGATTTTATTAAGCGACGTTTCACTATTCGTGTATTTAATCACACATGTATTATAATTTTCAACATACTTGGTATGTTGTAGTAATTGGTCTCTATTTAACTAAATTTTAATAATTAAAACCTAAATTATACAATTTTCCTTGCCCATCTCTAGCAAAAAATTACGTAATGGTTTCATAGACCAACCAAGTGGAACAGTCTGTCAGTGTCACTAACTAAATTATTCCCTACTCCTACCATTTTCTTCTGAATAATAATTCCTTTAAAAATAATGTCCGTCTCTCGCCGAATTTTGTCTCAATGTAAAGGTAAAAAATACATAAAATTAATAAAATATACTATTTTTAGTTTGTCCTGCAGTAGACTCATATTTTATTATTGAATAATTATTATTTTAGGTTTTAGCCTAGGAATTTGTTTTGGTACATGTTCAATTCATCTTATAATTTTAGTCGCTATGAGATACCTAGAAACCTAAATTATTTGTACAAATGTTATCATTGTTCCTTCAATGTCATTTTCATTATACATAATGTAACCGAGACCTTCGTCTAAAAATACTATCACTCGGCTGTGATAACTTTCGGCAAAATGTCTTATTACTATTAACGTAGCTATGAATGTATTCGAATAATGACAGAAGTTTTAAGATATTGATGTATATAGAAAAGTATTTTGAACTTTGATACCATAATAGACAGATAACATTTTTTGTCAAGAATGTCACTTTTATCATATTATTCATATTCAAACACATATTATAGTATATTCAGTTTGTTCATGTTGTTATGAATATAGATGAATAAAATGTTCGTACCTGATAAAATATAGAATATTAGCTGTCTGTCTATTTCAGTACTTAGCTTCAAATGTGTTCTCTCAAAATCATCAATAAACTCTATTTTGTATGACACTATTAATATATTGGTTTTAATAGTAAATAATATATACATATAAAAATATTTCTTTAAAAATTTACCTTAGATTCTAAAGTCTGAAATGTCCAGTGTGTGTTATAGAGGAAATTAAATTCAATTGCTCATTGAGATCAATTACATTGCTACTGTAAATACACATACATTAAAATGTAGTAAGTCTGTAATGATCTAATTTGTACTTTATTGGATACAAATAAGAGTTGCAATATCAATAATTTTTTACTAGACTAAGGCTTTTGTACATCTTTGTACTCTGTACTTCATCTCTCTTGCTTGTATTTATTATAGTTCACATCGTAAAAATTGTATCAGATATAAAAAGTTCTCAAATTGATTATTGATCTTTTTTTAACATTAATGTAACCGAAATGTCTTAGATATGTAATACATCCTTTTTTATATAAGGATGACAGTTGTAAAACAAACTTACATTTTTGTTGTGTGTTGATAATTTTCAATACCTCTTCTGGTCTAACTGCAAGTACCAAGTAAAGGTTTCCAGACTGTGATCTGTTTACAATTTCTTTTCTTTATTTTTCACTAAAAAAAAAATATTTATTTATTTATTTATTTTTTTCATTCATTTTTTCTTGATGGTTGCTTCAGAATATAAATGTGCTAGGGTTTTTAAAATAAATGTTTGACACACTGTGTGTTAAGAAAAATGAATATGTTAACTATTTCATTCAGACATCAGTATATGGTAGATGAAGTGTAATTTTTGTTTTTCTTGTTACATGAAATAAAAATATTTCTACTGCATAATCAAAAAAGTAAATAGCAAATGTGGGTGGTACACTGTATACATATAAAGAAAAACAAACAACCTATGAAAATGAAATCCAATTTTTTTCTTTATAAAACAAGAATTGTACATTTTACAGAGATATATAATTATGTCAAGAAGTTGCAAGCATGATTTACAATCTTTTATGAATAATGGAATATCATCATTCATGATGTAATATCTGTTTTCTATAATACTAAGATTTCAAAGGTTGTTTGTTGAAAAATAATTTTGTGAGTGGCTATAGCGATGGTTAACTACATACATTTTAAATGTCTCAAGTCTAAGCTAAGATTTAGTGGCTATAGGTAGACATACAATAGTTACGTCAGCAAATGTCTAAACCAATTGACTGACAATTGACTAGCTGCAATTAATCTACCTACGGTCTATTTATTTGCTTGTGGAACTATTAATCTTATACCTAAATATAAAAGTAATAGTGACGAAACAAATATAAGATTTTTACCGTCTATCTACAAATAATTATAAATTATAACTAAAATCCTAGATGAAGAACAATTAAAGTGTTGAAAATTTAGAGATTTAGCAAGAAATTAAATTTAAAAGATAAAATATTTCAGGTTGTTCTTGCAAATGCGTCGTATGATAAGGGTTACAAGCTAAGTTGTCACGGTTTTGTTACAACATCAAGTTATATATTAAAGAAACATTGATGAAATAAAAAACTATCAACTTTAGGAATTAATTTTTAATTAAAAAAAAAGAATTGCAAACTACACTTTAATTTCTATGACGAATCAAGCTAATATTACAAATTATCACAATTTTTAGTATTAATTACTTAAAGATATCACAATTTACTGTGGACACTAAAGCATTCCTCTCAAAATGATATTAAAAAAAAAACAACTATGTAAATGACGTCAACTTCCCGACTCCGACTTCATTGGATGTTCTTAACAGAAACACTAGATATTAATTTTCGCTAGATCACGTGATCCGCAGTCGCTTACACTGCCGCTACACCACCGAGGCAGTCAAATAATAATAAGGGGTGATTAGCAACACTTTTCGGTATTCCAAGAGTATTTTTATTTCTAAGATTTTACCTGAACTGATACTACAATAATGTGAGTACTGTTTTCATCATATAACCGGCGTTAACTGGATTGAAATCTTGATCTGAGGGATCCCCATTATGCACATGCATTTAAATTCGCAACTATAACGGTTTCTACTTCAGGACTGAGAACTATTTGGGCACCTAATTTTTTTTATACTATTCCACTTATTTTTACAGTTAATTGTGTCTATAGAGAGCCGTATGTTCTATGTTTTACTTAGCTGCTGCAACCCTGTATGATAAATTATTTGTTCGTAAATCTTCTAATATGAAACGTGCTTTTTACCTTTGGGATCAGGCTTTTACTGCCGTGGCATTATTACAGAAGTAGTACGGGTAGAAATTAAATTCTGTAAAGAAATTACTCAGTATAAACAACATACAATTAATTCGTCACCACAAACTACCACATAAGTTGGTGCTATTTACCCCATTAGTTGTTAAGTATTGAAACTAAATGGTGTTGCATCTTTTTTAACTTTTTTTACATGATCGAATCTTTTTACTCACACTACTAATTGACAACAGATCTTAACTATTAAATGTTAATGCCGTTCAACGTACCAAAACAAATCTTTGTGTTTTTACTCGAGGCCATCTAACAAAACCACTGAGCAACATTTTTTTTACGTGTGGAGACCCCTTCGGGCGGTCACCCTAGCGGGGTTTACGGCGGGGTGGTGTGTCGGAATCGGATCGACTAAAACCACACGATGTGTCACTTATAGGAGTCATAGGAGGGATTCGGGAACTGCTGTTTATTAAGACATCACCATCCACTGAGCAACCAACGTCAGCCCCGGATCTAGGGGGTGCAAACTGGGGCGCGGGGCTGACCAACGCAACACAATGACCTCAAGCTAACCCAACCTAACATTAAATGAAAGGCACTATATAACTATATTATATTGAGAACTTACAATGTCGGGTCTCTACGGAAAATATTCTATTGTAATATTTTCAATAACTTGGTGCATTGTAAATGCGTCATAGGTTCCTTATAATAATTCCCTGGCTTCAATTTCGATATACATGTGTGCTTATATTATTTACATTCAATCACTAGTTTTAGGTTTAGCATTTGCGTAAAATCTGTTTAAAAAAACTCGCTTGATCAAATTATATGTAGCATTCTTAGTAATTACTTTGAAATTAACATAAAATTGATTCTGCAGATATAATCAGACTGGGAAACCAAAAAAGATATTCATCCTACGATGAGAGCAGACGTAATTTGGCGATCAATAGTGAAACAAAAGTAATTGTACAAGGGTTCACTGGCAAACAGGGTACATTCCATAGTCAGCAAGCACTAGACTATGGCACTAAAGTTGTGGGTGGTGTATCTCCGAAAAAAGCTGGCAAAGAACACCTTGGAAAGCCAGTTTTTGCAACAGTAAGGGAAGCAATGGCAGCCACTCAAGCCAATGCATCTGTCATTTATGTGCCTCCTCCGGCTTGTGCTAAAGCCATTATGGAAGCCATCGAAGCAGAGGTGCCGCTTATTGTCGCCATTACGGAAGGTGTTCCTCAACACGTAAGATTTTAATGCATATTTATATGGAACAAATATACTTATAATTTAATGAATAATCAATTCCTGATCATATAGTGATGGAATAGATACATCTAACAATAATTTGATTACGTAGTTGTTAGCAACGACCCCCAATTTAATAGCATTTATCTCTTAAGCTAAACTCAAAAATGTCTGACAGAATTGTCACTTAATTTTTCAGGACATGGTTCGTGTAAAGCACGCGCTTCTGAGGCAGAACAAATCTCGCCTCTTGGGTCCCAACTGCCCAGGCATTATTTCTCCAGAACAATGCAAAATCGGTATCATGCCTGCATCTATACATAAGAAGGGATGCATAGGCGTCGTCTCACGATCTGGCACCTTAACCTATGAGGCTGTGTTTCAAACGACTGTTGTAAGTAAATGACTGTTGTTTTAGATAGAGAAAAATTATGTTAGAATTTTATTTTACATAGGGTATTCTATTATATTCGTTAGTTTCTTATGTTCTTCCATTTTTAGTGTACAAATATTTACATTCAGATTCATTAATACTTTTAATTGAAATTTGAAAAGAAATGATTTATAAAATACTACCAAATAATTAACATAATGAGATGAATTAAAACAATCAATTAATTAGCAAAATGAGATGAATTAAAAGAAAACCAGTTAATTAACATTTTGAGAATATTTCGACCTCACCTGGATGGCGTAGTGGTTAAAGCGGTCACCACGCCGATTCCCACTATGCTGAGCGTTGTGGGTTCGAGACCCACATGGGACAACACTTCGTGTGATCCACAAATTGTTGTTCTGAGTCTAGGTGTTCTTTGTGTTCGTTTCATGATGTTTGTAAAGTCCCACGCGACACAGGATATATTCCTAATGCGGGAGTTGTCTTTTTAAGAAACATTTAAAATGAAATCAATGAATTAACATTATGAGATGATGAGTAGTAGGAGCCCTAAAAAAGTCTGACAAAAGATTTTCTACAGAACTTCGAAATCGCCTATTAGTGAAGGTCTGATGGCAGTCACTCCGTAAGAAATCGAAGTTCAGCCGTATCGTAGAAGTAAAGCCAATCCTGACCTAATTTGGAAAAAAGGGCTCGGAGAAAGAAGAATGAATTGAAATACAACAATTAATTAATATTATGAGATAAATACCATCAATTAATTAACATCATGAGTGAATTAAAATATAATCAATTAACATTATGAGATGAATTAAAATACAATCCATTACTTAACATACATAAATAATAGAAAAATTAATTGACATACATAAAAAAACATTGAAAAATAGTTTTTTTTTTAATAAAATAAAGTCAATAAACAAATCTAATGTCAAACATTTTGAGTCAAATCACTCTTTAAGAAAGTCATTTAATAAATAGTAACACTTCTTTAAAAGGAATATGAAGAATTTTTCAACAGCTAATGATTTAAAAATGTTAGGCAATCTATTGGAAATTCGAATGGACATACAATACAGATTATTTGAACATAGTTTTAGATTTTGTCTAGGTACAAGCAGCTTATAACTTTTAACCTATCTGCTAGTAACATTTTACTGGAGTTTAAGTTAATTGATGTTGCTATGTACAAAATCATTTAAAAATGTTAGACAATCTATTGTAAATACGAATAGATGATTGGAACATAGTTTTAGATTTAAAACTTCTTCTAACTGATCTGCTGGTAACATTTAATGGAGTTCAAATAAATTAATGTTGTTATGTACAAAGACACAACTTTAAAAAATATATATATAATAAGGTGGGTCAATTTTTTTTTAGCTAATGAAAATAATATTATTTCTGAGCAAAATTAATATTATTGTGCCGGAAATGAGAATTAACATTGTATTAAAATGATCGCCATTGTTTACATACATTTTTGTTTTTTTGTAAACTTAAAGTAGGCACTTTCAATATCGTACAGTGCAGTTGTTTTGTTTTAGTAATTTAACATATATTACAATACTCCGGCTCTGCACCGTGTTTAATACATGATACATTAATTTCTCTTAAACTGAAAAAAATTTACTTAAAGCACGAGGTTTAACTCATTCAGGAAAGCAACCTCATGTGTTTGAAGTGCTATCAATTTATTTTGAAGCTAACACCTATGTTGACCTGATAAATTGTCAAAAAAAGTTTTACGATACGCTGAGATGAGGAAATAAACAGGATCATAGAATCTCAGGACGATGTAAACCTGTTTTTTGTTTAATGCCATTACTTTTGAACGATCTGTGGAAACAGTGACAGAAACATCTATGTCCACGTGCAATAAATAGTGAGCCAAAACTTCATCCAGAAAACCGACGTCTTGATTTGGGAGTAAACATAATTTCGCGGCGGTATCAAAATAAGTTTAGTGATTTTTACAACGAAATATTGTACTATACTAATTTTTAGTCATGTATGATTGTTTTGTACTAAACTAAATGTAAGTTTAAATAGACATAATTTTTTCGAAAACTCAAAACTTAAAGTCACATGTGCGGACTAAAAATATGACTTAATTGAACATTTAATTACCAACTAGTAGTCGCGTGACGGATTAAGAATACGGTGTGTCACCGTATTCGATATTCATCCCGTGGGTGTCGTAAGAGCCGACTAAGGGAGCAAACTACTCGGGACAACTGCACTGCAGAGAGAAGGAAAACTTGAAACAAACCCTACACCAACCCGTCTGGCCAGCGTTGTATAGTATGTCAAAACCTCCTTTCTAAGGAGAGGCCTGTGTCCAGCAGTGGACTACTACAGGCTGTTGATGTGATGTGATGTGAGTCGCTCAGTTGTCGAACTTCGACCATAATTTATTTAATTAGTTTGAACTTTATCTTTTGTCAATGCATTTTATATAAAAAAATAATAGCTTTATGAACTACTTCTCCATATCAAATTTTACGTTCATCAGTTTACTCAATTTTCTTAAAAAGGGGTGAAAAGTTTTCCCTTCACTTATTAATATAAAGAATAATATTTGTTTAGACATTAGACATCATAATATTACTGTTATAAGATGATTTAATAAAAAAGAAATACATTAGCGTACAATATAAAACGTTCTGCCCCTGTTCCTGTCTAGATACTTGCGAGCGGCGGCCACGGTCTGTTTTCTGAAATGTTTAAACTGATTCAAAACACCGGATGCGCTCAAAAGCGATTTTCTGTCCAGCGAACCTATTTCACCTACCAACAATAGAACAGTAGTTGTAGCGGGTTCCTACCTGATCTTGAACGTTGGGGCCAATGCCTTACCTCTAACAGGTCTAATATTGATACCCGAATTTTACCATATTTAACTCCTCAGTCGCACCGAGTCAAAAGTTACTGATCGAGGAAACGAAGCCTGTTCGTTATCAGGTTTAGCCATATGGTATTTTGTGATTTTGTTTCTGTCCAATACGTGTAGCTCGGCTAGAACTTCTCTTGCGGTAGACTGTTTTTTTTAGTTTTAGTAGTCGGCGAGTTTTGTTTTCGTAGTTGAACCACCGAAAAAGAATCTATCACTATGTATTATAATTTCAGTTTTCACAAAACTCTGTTTCGAGATTTTTTTAATATCTACACGGGGGGAGGGGGGGGTACTTTGAGTTGGGTCGAATAAAAATAATGTGTTAAATATTTATCGAATCTACATGAGGTGGTGTAATATCCACCAATTATTGTAATTCGTTGTTAACTGTTTACTTTTGTTTATTGTTTTCTAGACTGGCTTGGGACAAACTCTCTGCGTGGGTATTGGAGGCGATCCGTTTAACGGCACAAACTTCATTGATTGTTTGGAAGTATTCTTGAACGATCCTAATACAAAAGGAATAATTCTCATTGGCGAAATTGGTGGTAATGCTGAAGAACTTGCTGCTGAATATCTCATCAAGAACAACACTGTGAGTTGAACACATGATTTTACTTCAATCTTGCCTTTACAAGTTTTTTGTTCCCCTAGGTTCGTTGTGCATTAGAAATTTTAAACATTTGTATGTTATTAAACTAAAATTGTTTAGTTTAGAAATCATTAATTTTGAACACCTACACAACTTTTTGAATAAGACAAAAACTCTTAATTAGGAAAATTTAACAATTTAGTGCATATCATCATGTTTACAACATGGCTCACAAATATGCATTTGGTAGTTGTGGGTATAAAAATAAAAGGTTTCAAGATAGGGTCATATCCATATGTCATCAGTACACATATGTTTAATACAAATAAAATGAAAAAAAAAAACAACTTAAAGACACACAAACAGCGAATATGATGATAGTGAACAGTTGTGAAAATTGTATTTAACAAGAAGTTAAAACTAGGCACATCAATGCTTCACTAGCAATGTTTAGAAGGCAAGCCCTCTGCCTGTTAAACTTCTTAGCCATGAAGTATTGAACAGAAACCTACTTTTCTAAAGCACTAATTATAACTACTGAGTAGTATTGCACCATGTTTCCTTTAATTTTCCATCTAATACATAAAATCAATGCAGGTATGATTGTAAATTTTGTATGTGCATACAAACCAGGGATACAGAGAAGTTTATAGGTTATCAAATCATCTTTCTTTCAGGAAAAATAACTTAGTATTTAAAATTTTTTTAAATTTAAATACCGATTTAACATGTTGCATTTTTTGTTTTCTCACAGGCAAGAGAGGTAAAGATCAAAGGATTTTAGCTTGGTCATACTCAATAATAACAAAGTACAATTTTATTTCTATTTTTAATCTTTCCTATTGAACATAGTTAATTTAGTTTTCTCATTAGAGAAATTACTTTGTAGACTATACACAATTATTAAAAGTAGTTTCAGAATATGACTATTAGGGTAATCATTAAATTATTGTAAATTATCTCTTTGTAATAATTAGCTCACTCGTTTTAGTTCATTCAGTAATTACATGTTAATAATGTACTTCCATTTTGTATAGTAAAATAATGATGATGAAATTTCGCTGTTGTTTAAAACAGCCATCAAAAAGAAGGTTGTCATAGACCCTGTTTTGTTGGTATGGTATCCGAATTACCAAAGGCAACTTATTTGGACTGGACTTTTGGGCTATATTTGTTGAACTTTGATAGTAATCAATTCAGGTGGGTAAGGGTGGGTTCCTGAGCTTTTTGTCATACAATGGACATGGCAAACTACCAAATGATCCAGTTATTTTTAAGGCTGTGCAAATCAGAACACTGTTTAACATAGTTATATCTACTCTTCTGTAAAAAAAATACTAATACAAAAAAGTATTAATTCATACATATTTATCGATTTCAGGGTAAGAAAGCTAAGCCAGTGGTTTCCTTCATCGCTGGGTTGACTGCTCCCCCTGGCAGAAGAATGGGTCACGCTGGAGCTATCATCTCTGGGGGTAAAGGCGGTGCCAAAGATAAGATTAAAGCATTACAAAATGCCAATGTCATTGTAACCCCTTCTCCAGCAAAAATGGGAGTCGAACTGCTCAAAGAAATGAAACGACTAGAGATCGTCTAAGTGTCGCTGTTATTCGATACAGTCTATATTATTTATTTAAAAATATGATATTTCAATGCTGTTATATACCTTCTGCTCCTTATTAACGTCGACGTGGAATTTGTGCAAGTCTATCCATTTTGTGACACTGATTGTATTTGGGTATGTTATATACATATTTATTATAGTACCTTTATCAGTTTTATTGTATACCTGTTCTTAAATATCCAATTAGTGGTTAAAGGCACTAATTTATTAGAAGAGCACTCGCGTATAAATCAGCCCACGAGAATAGAACAGTTCCACAGTGTATTCGGTAAAAGAGTATTCGCAATCTCTGGACTATCTGATTCCTTTGATCATGTAGTAGTATAAGAACTTGTATTTAATATAATAAGTGTTAATTATGAATCGATCAAATTTCAATTTACAGAATAATAAAATTATGCTGTATGTTTAATATTCGTGTAATTCAAAATATTTGGATTCATAAAGTTAGAAAAATACATGCTTATATAAATGTAACAATTCTTTTATTGAATTCTTACTGGTACGAGGTACGATTAATATTAAAGTAATACGGGTTCGATTTTGGATGCATAAATTTGTGTTCAGGAATATCATTCCTCAGTTGTGCATTCATCTAGTCCGCCCAAGTGGGGTGTTTATTTCAGGACTAAGGCCTCTGCTTTTAGAAACCTGTAATACCACCACCTGTAATAATCCAGAGAGAGCGAAACCGTCATTTTTTTTTGTAGCAGCAATAGTACCACCAACGAAAGTCTGCAACGCTCTGCAAATCGCACGTAGGCATTTTTTTGTGCCCGGAAGGCTCTATTTACATCAACAGAACTACCCCACTAACCGTACCGCAATACTGATGAGACGTAACCATGATACGTGCAAAGTGCCGCTTCAACACCGGCTACCCGCGTAATTTTGTACATAACCTTTTGTATCCCGTGGGTGTCGTAAGAGCCGACAAAGGGAGCAAAACTATGCAGGACAACAGCACAACAATAGAAGGAAAACTTGAAACAAACCCTATACCAACCTGTCTAGCCCACTCAGCGTGGTATAGTAGACCAAAACCTCCTTTCTAAGGAGAGGCCTATGTCCACCTATTAAAAGCTGATGATGTACTTACATTAACTTCTTGAAACGAGGTGACTCTGGCAATGCAATACTAATACTATCCTAAATGCTCTTTCTTTTCGTCGCATGGTATTGGATAAATTATATTGTACTGTAGAAAATAATACTACGAGCTGTAAGAGTTAAATAGTACTTAGCATTCTCTTACGTAGGTATATACGTAAGAGAATGCTAAGTACTATTTAACTAGTTTTAGTCTAGTTTTAAAGACTCAGAGACTAGAGATATCTCTAGTCTCTGAGTCTTTAAAACTAGACCAAGACAAGTAAATCGATGCATAAATTGACTGAACTTACAAATAAATGTTCCACCATGATGAACAACCACTGGACTGGAGGATATTAATCCATTTCAAAATAATCATTTTTTGCTCTTTTCTCGGGTACTTGCTTTAAGGAAGGTCGTAGGCATAAGTGAAAGACAAAAGTATTTAAATCAAACTGTATTAAGTTAAAAACATTTCTAGATGTTATTCATGTTTATGGCCTTACATTACGACCATAATTAAAAAAAAAACGTTTGTTTAAAGATTACTGTTCTCTGTAGTTAGGTTTACTTTAGAGAAATTCTGCAAAAATACCGTAAAGGATTATAGGAATGTAATAAATATAAATACTTATAAAGTATATACTTAAAAGAAGGATGTACAGGTAAAAGTGAAAGACAAAAGTATTTATATAACACTGAAATAAGTTGAAAAAATAGACATTACATTTCTATTGTATGATGATTCATGTTAATTTCTTTACAGACGAACATAATAAAAAAAGCCTTTGTTTATAGATTATTATTATCTGCAGTATTAGGCTTATTTTTGTGAACTCTTGCAAAAACACCCCATACAGGTAAGTAGTTGTTGAGTGGCTCAAGTCTGTTAGTTCTTTGTATGCTAAATTGTGGTGAGCCAAAGCTGGTACAGATGTCGCTAAAAGGCCCTAAAAACTGGTACACACAATAACGTTATATTCATAAAAATAATCATAAAAAATTGTTGATTTTGTATGTTCTTCGAAATGAAATTTTGAGTTATCGAAGAAATTCCTGATTATTTGAAAAACAATAATCGTACCTGATGAAAAATTAACAATAATAGTTACTTTGACGTGTGTGTGTGAATTAACAATTCATGGCTTTTGCACCACGATAATGCACCTGCTCACACTTCATTGCTTGTTCGTGAATTTTTGGCCAAAAACAAAACTGTAACGATGCCTCAGCTTCCATATTCGCCAGATATGGCTCCATGTGACTTTTTTCTATTTCCAAAAATAAAGAGAAAATTAAAAGGCCGTCGTTTTACAAGCATAGATGGCATTAAAAGCGAATCGCTGAAAGAGCTAAAAGCTATTACAAAGATCGAGTTTCAAAAGTGTTTCGAGGATTGGAAAGAGCGTTGGCACAAGTATATTATATCCGAGGGGGATTACTTTGAAGGGGACAAAAAGGGGATAAACCGAAAATTCTCGTTATTTTTTGAACACACGTATTCTAGCGGATAACCGTTATATTGAGTATGACTAAAATTATAAATTATTAGTACTATAACCATCTGTAAGGATATTACGGATTTCCTTGCCGTTTAAGAGATAATTAGATTTGTCATACTAGCTTCATACAATTTTTTCTTAAAAAACTTCTAATTCCTTCGTCTTTGTGTAGAATTATCTCGGATGTCATTTTTGTATATAGTAATAACTAATGTAAGCGATATCCGGCGAATAATATGCCACTTGCAAATTCAAATCCCTAGGTTTATGAAAGCCGATTTCAGCCCACCGTGCGTCGACAACTGTTTTTTTTTAAATGCGATTTTATAAATATTATTCAAAACCGTTTTCTGTCGTTCCGGGTACATAACATTAATTTTAAAATGGCACTGACACAAAGCAGCAGTTGTAGATGAATATAGTAGTTTTGGTAAGTTAAAAATTATAAAATACGTTAGTAGATAGTAGGTTAAAGTAAACAAAAATTATTAAATGGATCATTGAATAAATATCGAGCAGAAAAATAACTAACTGGGCAGTTATTAAAACCGAATTTGTCTTTAAGAAATCTCATTATATGCAGTTCTATAAACAACGAGGTGGTAAAATTAACACAATTAATTGGTGGTATTCCCATCCTATTCAGCGTGTAACGTAATAAATATTAAAGTAACAAAGGTTTTATGACTTACCTGTAAATCGATCAACATTGACTGCAGATGGACAGATACTAATAAATAATGTATACTATTTGTTTATTAATTTCTGTTGTTATCCCAACCAAATGCAATATTTCGTAAAGATCATTTTTAACGCTGCTAAATGTGTGTAAGGCCTTAGGTATACAATAAATACTCCAGCCCTAATACTAACTTAATAAAAGATGAAATAGAAACTACAACTGTGTAGAACTGAGCTTGCAAGTAGAACTTTGTTTTACTTTCTGTCTGCCTAATTCTAGTTTTCTTAACAATCAGTTCTATGTTGCTACTAAATAGTATAGATACTGCTCTAAGTACACAGACAATGCCTCTCGAAACAACATCAGTTGCAACCATAATGTTTATTATTCTATTTAGTATTTCTTGTGAAGTTGCTTTATCTCGTGTCTCCAGACTAGGATTGGCATATCTTTTTAATTGCATTTATTGGACATGGATTATTATTATATGCTATGTTAATATTTTTACCACAAAATATGATAAATTTATCTTTTGAAACCATATCTATTATAAATTGTCACTCATCAGGCAGAACTAAATATGATCTACACAGCCGATTTATTGCTTATAACAGTTAATAGCTAACGTCATGACGGATTACAACAAAATACTAGAGATGGTGACTATTCAGTCAGAAAATGTAACACTTGAACATGTAAGGTTGAATGTAAAAAAGAATTAACAAATTAATAATTTCAAACTCTTCAAATGAGGTGCCTCTACCAGTGCAATGCATACTGATCACTTGATGGAGCCAATCGTGTAGGTAGCATCCCAGATGCTATAGCTTTTTATCAGATAATACTCAAATAATTTGTGTAACTTACAGATGGTCCACCCAGATAGAAGCTTCTTTTTCGAAAAAAATAAGTAAGATTGTAAGATGTGTAAGATTCAGTCCTATTCTCTGAAATCTCTAGTTTTTATGTCTTTAAAGCTAGCATGAGGACAGACAAGTATTACTGTATAAATTGACTAGACTTGCAAATTAAAGTTCAACTATGACAAACTACCACTAGAAGAATAATTCATTTTACACTAAATTATTGTTCCTGTTTTCTTTGGTTACCTACTTTAAAGAAGGGTGGACAGGTATAAGCAAATGACAAAAGTAATTGGTTAAATATGACACTGTAATAAGTTGAAAAAATAGAGATAACACTTCTATTGTTTTAACAGATGTTTATCATGTTTAAGGTTCACAATAAATACTTCGGCATCCTAATAATAGCTTAATAAAAGATAAAATAGAAACTACAACTATGTAGAACTGAGCTCGAAAGTGGAACATTTTTTTAACTTTCTATCACAGCAATATAGTCAAACTTAATTCTAGTTTTCTTAACAATCAAAGTACTATGTTGCTACTAAATACTGTACTCTAAGTACATAGACAAAAATACAGAGAGATAAAATAGTTATGAGTTATAATAAAAATCTTATAGCTATAGGAGATTTAATCACAATTTACCACCTGTCCCTTCCTCTTCCACCACGTCCACCACGGCCCCCGCGGCCTCGGCCCGAGCCTCCACCGTCTCGTCGCAATTTCATAGCCTCAAACCTATCTGCCATTTGTTCTAACTCCAATGGAATTTCTTGATTAGCCTCTTCAAGAATTTTGATTAGATCCCTAGCATTATTCCAATCTTGCCTTGTAACAAATGTTAGAGATATTCCTGTTTTTCCTGCCCGTCCTGTCCTTCCCACTCTGTGGACATATTCTTCTACATGTCTTGGGAAGTCCAAGTTAACAACATGTGTGAGATCTTTAATATCAATACCTCGTGAAGCAACATCAGTTGCAACCAGAATATTTACTGTTCCATCTACCATTTCCTCTAAAGCTGCCTCCCGGTCACTTTGATCTCTGTCTCCATGCAAAGATTGACATGCTATGCCTTTAAGACATAGCTCTGTGGTAATATGTGTTGCAGTAGCTTTTTTACCACAAAATATGATAACTTTATCATTTGCATCCATATTTTGCAAGAAGTCAAACAATGCAGCCTCTTTATCATCCTCTTCCACAAATAATATTTTCTGTGTGACAGTGTGCACAGCAGCCAGGTCTAATGATCCCACATTAACTTGTATGGGATCCTTCATGTAGGATTCTGCAAGACGACGCACACCTGATGGCCAAGTCGCTGATGTCATAACAGTCTGTCTATCAGGCCTAACATCAAATAATGACTTTCTGATTTGAGGCTCAAATCCCATGTCTAACATCCGATCAGCTTCATCTAGCACAATGTATGAGAAATTTATGATATTTAAGTGACGAGTCAGTACCAAATCATTAAGCCTGCCAGGTGTTGCAATGACTATATCTACACCTTTAGACACTACTTTAATCTGCTCCTTGCGGTCTCCTCCACCATATAGACAAACAGATTTTATACCTCTGTATTGATATTTGGACACTTCCTTATCTATTTGTAATGCAAGTTCTCTTGTGGGGGCCATGATTAATACTGTTGGACCCTCCCTCTGATCCCTGGGGACAGTTTGTCCCTCAATATGTATAAGAGCTGGCAAAAGAAATGCTAATGTTTTCCCAGTACCAGTTTGAGCAATGCCAATTAAATCATCACCCCTTAACAGTATGGGCCATGCTTGACTTTGAATAGGAGAAGGTTGTTTAAAGCCTTGTTTATAAATTTCTTCCAGAATTTCAGGATACTGTTGGAATGCTTGTTCAAAAGTGACCACTGGGTTTGGTATAGGTCTTAAATCAGGTTTATCATCAAAAGTTCTTTTAACTGTAATGTCATTGTTAGCTAATCTCCAACGCTTTACTTCATCAGGGGACATATTAGCTACAACTGGATCCTCCTGGTAAAAATCTTTGACAATGGGCGGCAGTTTCGCCCACCTATTCTGCTGTTCCTCTGCATGATATGCATTAAGCTTTTCCCAATCAATAACTTGTACACCATTTTCATTGGTTTTGAAAAACTCTCCTGCTCTAGTGCAACTATTGTCCACGTCATCATTTTTCGGTGGAGGTGGTGGCTTATAATCTTCAACCAAATCATTAATTAAACTTTCAGCCTTTGCAATAGCTTGATCAGAGCCCATCAGGGTAATGTCTGCCTCATTACCGCTTGTATCGCCAATTTTTATTTTGGCATCAGATTCATATTGCAGATCGCGTATTTTTGATCCACCTTTGCCTATAATACGGCCTACTTTGTTTGAAGGAACATAAATAACTTTTTTGATACCTGCATCTTCTTGGTAGTTGCGTCGGTTATCTCGATCATTATTGCGGCGGTAGTCTCCGCCACTATTATTTCCACGCTCCCTCCAATTGACATCATTGTTGGCGGAACCTCCTCGTGATCCTCTGCCTCTAAAAGTTCTTCCACGATATTGACGAGTGTTTGTTGCAGGAACGCTGGGTGTCGGCGCTGCTCCCGGAACAGTTTCCCAATCATCATTCCATTCAGCCATAATTTTCAGATTTAGAATATTTCAAGCAACTCAAAGCACTTTTATCTATTAAGTATTATTTAAAAACAAGTAGATGTTTTCAAACTGTAATGGAGTGAACCAAAATATACCACGAAAGTTCAGCACGACGAGTCGTCAACCATGTGAATGCCGATGTCAATGTCAACTGCATTGCTTTTATTGATGAGTGAAAAATTGTGTATTGTTTGTGGCAGTGTTATCAGCTCTTAAAAATATTTACCCCTAAATATACAGTAAAAACGTTTAAAATTGCTACAATTACTTGAAAATCCCCTAAAATAAGGAACCATAATTAACACTACTCAATTGTTTCTAAATACTCTGAAGTAGTGAAGTTGTTGAAATATACAAGAATGAAATACTATATGTATAACAAATATATAGTATATATAACAAACATAAACCCTCGTAAAAAAATACCAAAAGATATGCAATCACATTAAATGTATGTAAATATTTTAATTGCATTATAATATAATATATATTTTTTAGTTCACTTTATTAATTATGTATTTGTATGGGTACCTTTAAAGTAATATGAATAGACTACGATAGCTTAAAAAAAAATTAGATTAATCTAAGCAATCATTATTTAAGCATATTATTTTATCCTTATTATTTGTGTCTTTTCATTCCAGTTGTTATGGTGAACCCTGGGGCTGATGTTGTTGATGAAACAATCCTTTGTTTACGGCTAACACTAGTGATAGTTGTTTTTTCTTTACTACTTAGTAACGAAAAATTGCTCCATATGTCATTACTTGTTGCTAGGTCAGCTATTAAATATAATTGGTTAGATTTAATGATCTCAGAATTCGTCATCAATAGATTGCAACAATTCCATTGACTCCCATGCTCGGCGGTCACTGGCTGTATGCGCACAACGCCAACTGCCGCACTAGAGGTGGCTCTTGGTCTGCCCGAACTGGACATGTTCATACAGCAGAAGGTGGCCATTGCGATCATTAGACTCAGACAGTTGGGTCTGTGGCACAAAGGCGAGGGATCGTACTCCAAATTATGGAATCAATTAATGGAATATGAGCCAGTATTTGCAGCCCCTGAGACAGGATCCCAAAACACCATATCTTCACAAGGAGATATCACATTCTGATACTAGAAAATGACCGAGATCAATCTGGCATAAACGATGTCCGAGTTTACACAGACGATTCCAAGATTGGGTCAGGAACTGGAGCCGGAGTTTTCTTACAAGACCTAAAAATGAAAATATCACTAGCGTTAAAGGCAATGTAAGATTGTAAAAAACTTAGGAAATGATATTAAAAGATGAACTGTATGAACTGTTGGTGTACGCAAACCTCAAGAACCTTTGATAGTAAAGGAAGGATGGAGATCTAATGGAAGTGCTCAAGAAGAGAAGGATTATTAATTTTAGACAGTGGGATGATGTAGGCTTTGTGCCCGAGAGGGAAAAGTTCCGGAGTCGTGAAAGAAGTCAAAAATGTGGGCTATAACTTCGAGAACGTAATCCAGGTTGTTATCTATCATCCTTCTGCTAACGTCATCCCAACCCATTGCGCTACAACAGACAGAGAGGATGATTTTTTGATGTCCCCAGAAGGCACTGGAGAAAATTCAAAGTTGAAAATATTGGGTCTAGGCAGACCAGCGATATATTTCCGGGTCTGACTCTTGGTTTGATGATCCGGTTGAGTGGCAGAAGAGATATGAAGATTGATATCATTCAAACCAATGGTGTTCGAAACTCGGCCCATTGTTGCCTACCAATGCCCAACGTGTTAAGAAACTTCCACATACTAGAAGTATGGCTGTTGAAAGATGCCCAAGGGACTGCTTTGGGTCCATATTGGCTCACATAAAAATCTTATTCCTATTTTCAATTTTAATACCGTATTGTGTTCATAAATTTTTATTACTCCCGACGCAACTCTTACTAAGAACATGTTTGAACTCATAATGCTGTTTTTCAGAACAGTTTTCTTCATAATAGATAATTGTCATAATTTTCTTATTGATAATGGCATTTTTAAGAAAATATTTAAAATCATGATATTGTTTTTCAAAACGGTAACTATTCAAAATAAGATTTTCTTATGTCGTTAATTATTTAATAAAAAATATAAATGCAACTCAAGAATAACAACTATGTATGATGATATCTATTTCTTTCTTGCTGTAAAGGTTATTAATAGTTGATTTCTGCTAGAACGGCAATCGTGCAAACTTTTCCCCTCAGATCAATAATTACAGAGAAGTGGGTGTACAAATGCGATTCTTCGTTCATCGTCTACTACATTGTAAGTATTAGTAAAAATTTGTTTGGTTCTGGCGTGTATTTTTTTCCTTTGCAGGTGCACAACACAATAAATAAAGTGAAGGATAACACTTTAAAGCTTTTTAGCTTTAACTAACCGCAAAATAACACTTATGATTAAGAAATATATACTCCTATTACTCCGCCAACGATTCTAATAACTCACCAGTTAATGCGAGTTTTACCTCGGCACACGACAATATAACACCTTTAATTATGAATTTAATCGACTTTTCACTATAATAACACATAATCACTAGTCACAGTTACTATAATATAATAACTTATGGGAAATGTTCATTAATTCGAACGTACTCGCTATCCTGATTTCGGAGACATGGCCCAAACCTCAACTTCTTTCTACTACTTATTTTCTTGCAGGCTTCGTTCTCATCCGGAATGATGGAATTGCCAAAAGGGGTGGTAGCGTCGCAATTTTTGTGTTTCGATATTTCGTACAACCTTGTTGCTAAATCACCACCTACTTCGAACGCTGAGTACCTTTTTCTCGAGGTTTGTGTCATGGGACCGAAAATCGTTTCGTGGGTCGTTTATTGTCCACCGGCCACTGACTACTACACTGAATTCGAATCAGTTTTAAATCTTTAGGGTCTGTGTATGAGCATCACATCATTATGGGAGACTTCAATACTGATCTCTTGGCTGAAAATTCCTCTCGTTCTCGGAAACTGCTGAATATATTCGAATCCACCAGTCTACATTTTTTACCGCTTCAAGCCACTCATCATAGCCCTAATGGAGAACACACTCTGTTGGATCCTGAAAGTTTCATCGCATGGGCAATACTTAGCACCTGGTTTTTCACGCCACGATCTGTTTTTTGTTACGTATAAAATCTCAATTATGCTCAAGCGCAGCTTCAGACCTATGAATTTAGACGAACTTCGCGAGGATGCCTCTCACATCAACTGGGAACCGCTAGCGGCAGCAGCCACCGTCGATGCAAAGGTTCAAATATTAAAGGAAAACATTCTAAACAGGGATTCGAACAGGGACCATGTTTTCCAGCGTTTTAAGAGAAGCCGGTGTAATGATAACTGGCACGAATACAAAACTGCCAAAATTTTATTATTTTATTTATATGTTTATTGTGTACAGTTAACACATAAATAAAGATTACTTACAAATATGTAGACTCAACAATCGGAGGTCTTATCGCTCACGGCGATTTCTTACAGACGACCTGAATACGGATATTAGATACAGTGCAACCTTAATATAAGGTACCTCAATATAACGACTTCCTCTATTTAACAAATTCTTCGTTATCCCCTTGAATCGTCCATAAGAGTCAATGAAAAATATATCTTTACATTGCGAAGCTTTTTTGCAAACAACCTCTTTATAACGAATTTTCAACTATCAAAAAAAGTGTAAATACCTCTAATTAACGAATTTTGTCAACCCAAAACCTTTATATAGCGTTCCCACCAATATGACCCTTAATCCTTAATATTAGGTCTTTGCCTATGAAATTGCCGTTTTGTATGCAATAAGTGAAAGTACTTATTTTTTCAAACTTTTTTATTTCTGTTATTCGAAGTAATCACCCATGCAATCGACGCATCTTTGCCAACGCATTGGCAGTTTATTGATGCCCTTCTTGTAAAAATCAGCTGGACGGGAGGCAACAAACTCTTCAAAGGCATTTTGTACTGCCTCTCGAGAATTGAATTTTTTACCCACTAAAAAGTTGTCTAAATTTTGGAAAAGTAATAGTCGGTAGGTGCCGTAGGTCGGTAGGTGTCGTAAATATCCTACTATCGTACGGAACTGTCATGGCTACCTATAGGACAACGCAATAGTTTAAGGGCGTTGACGATGTTGTACTTCCTTCTCTACTCACCTAACTCTCCTACTCATTTAAAATCTCACTTCCAATATCTCTGCTCTAACCATGACAGGAAGCTCCGCTCTTCTAATAATCTTCTCCTTCTCTGTCCTTCATATAATTCGAGTATTGTTCATTCTTCCTTCGTGGTTCAAACTGTACATCCAACTTGAAATCAGGATGTCCACCAGCCGATTCAACTTTAAGCTTGGAGTGCTCAAGTTCTACGGAGACTCGCTGAAGGAGAGAGAGCAGAGACTATGTGGAATGTTGTTATTTATGCACATATGTATGTATGTATGTGTGTATATGTATGTATATACATATTATTTAACTATTATATAGCACGTACAAAATTTGTTTATGGATACTTAATATATCATTTTTTGTGATAGACATCAACGCGTAATCCATTCACTAGCTTCAATTATACACTTTCCACACAGCATCACCCAAGGGTTGACTGGAAGAAAATGCTTATGGCATTAAGTCCGCCTTATACAATGTATTTTCAAGAAGTATTGAGTAATAAATAAATAAATATAATCATTCTGATTAGGAGTTTCGATCGTTAGTATAAGAAAATATATGAAAACAAACATTATAAGCCAGGTGTTGGATTAGTAATATTATGAATTCTGATGACTATGAGTTTCGATTGTTAGTTTAAATATTTAGATATTTTTATGTAAAATGATATTAGAAATATTTTCGGACCTCCGATACTGGGACTTAAAAACTTGTGGAATATGCGCACCTGACTTTGACATTTGAGTAATAAAATTTTGCAATTATTCTTTAAATACTGCCTCATTTCAATACCGGTGT